TTTCTGAATTTCCCCATATGTGCTATTGAATGACCTAATTTCCCCAAGAAACTCTTCTGCAGCTTTTTCTCTCAGACTTTAGGTGATGGATTGTATATCTTGATCATAATCTTTTGCTCTGGGTGTTTGCAGATTGTTAGTTTACCTTAATCCTTTTTTTCTAACGATGCCTGCTGCTTTTCTGGCCTGAATTGCAAGTTAGACAAAACAGAGATGAGTGCTCTGTATTAATCCTCAAGTAGACCCCAGACAGGCTAGAATAAACATAAACAAGAATTTGTGAATAAGTTCTGCTCTGCTTCCTCTAGAAACAGACTAGAATCCCACACTGGGAGTACAGCTGCTGCCACACCAGGGAGGCTGTGGGGGAAGGGTAAACAATGTCACAAACTTTCCCACCATTTTAAAGTTGCCCTTTTCCTGATTCAGCATTTGCTTGGTTGCTATAAATTTTTTACTGTTTTCCAGAGCCCTGATAAAGGTGGCTGTGACTGTCCTGCTTGTTTCTCAGTGTTTTTGTGCAAGGATGAGATCTTGGATTTACTTCCTCTGCTATGTTGCTCAAATGGGTATTTTTAAAACCACCGTTTGGTGTTGTGACGGGACAATTATGAGCTTAAATAAATCCCTGAGCCTTTTGTATAATTCACAAGAGTTCAAGTTAGAAGTTTCTCCCATTAGAAGTATTAGAAAAATGATCTATCTAACTTTTACCTTTTCAGGGATAGGCCATGCTATGCCCTATTAGAAGTTTCCTATGTCCTGGACACTGTGCAAGATATTTCATGTCTCTTAATTTTTACAGCAACCATGTGAGATAGGTGTTTTCACTCTATTTTATCTATTTTACAAATGAGATAGCTTCAGAGAGACAAGCAGCTTGTTTAAAGTGGTGGTGAGGCTGTTAAAACTCAGAAGTATCTGAGTCACATGAGACAGAATTTTTTTTTTTTTTTGAGACAGAGTCTCCCTCCCTGGAATGCAAGTTATTCATAGGCGTGATCACAGCAAACTACAACCTTGACCTCAAGCTCCTGGTCTCAGTGATTTTCCCACCTCAGTCTTCCAAATAGTTGGAACTACACTGCACCCAGCTCTTAAGTCAGAACTCTTAAAATCAGTTTTTAAAGTCTTTAAATTATATCAGAATGTTTGGGAAGGAAAGGTTTGAGAACCATTGCACTTAACATTCTGCCTGCTAAAGGAACAGCATAATGGAGGTAAAATTCAAGACACATCATTTTGCTCCAGACTAGCCAGTTAACCAAAACTGGTTAGGGAATATGTTCAGTCAAGTCAATAGAGTGATCGACTTGTCCTGATTTGTCTAGGACTTCCCCAATTTTAGAGTTAGAAAGTCCTACATCTTGGGAAACCCCTCAGTCCTGGCTAAACCAGGATGGCTGATCATCCTACAAGGCAGTTATTTATGGAATTTAATTGTCTGTTAGAGCATTTTATTATTTAAAAATCCTAGATGTGTTTCTAAATTAGATCAAAACAGGGAATGTTTGCCTTTGTATCTATGTATGTACTTATTGATCTATTTTTAAGTTTGCTTATTTTTTTTCTGCCAGCTCAATCTACTGTGAGCTCCTCTAATTATTTTCATTTCAATCATTGTACTGAAGTCATTCAACTCCAGAATTTCCATTTAAAAAAAAAATTCTATTTACTGACATTCTCTATTGGATGCAACATTCCCATCATTACATTTAACTCTTTAAATCATCATTTCTTTTTCTTCTGCAAACGTGTTTAGAATGGTTAAAGTCTTTTTCTGATAAATCTAACATCCAGTTATTCTCATAGGCAGAGTCTGTTGCCTGCTTTTCTACTGGTGTATGGGTTATACTTTCCTGTTTCTTTTCTTACCTCTTCTTATGGCAAGTGAACATTTAACTTCAATAAGAGACTGAAGAACGGTTCTCCAAAGTGGTTATTCCATTCTCCACTTTCATCAGCAATGTATGAGTGTTCCAGTGGCCTCATGTCCTCACCAGTGTTTGTTGTTACCTTTTAAATCATTCTAGTAGATGTGAAACGGTATGCTACTGTGGTTTGATTTGTATTTTCTCAGAGAACCTAAGTTGTTGAACACTTTTACATACATCTAATTCTGATGAATTCAAATTTATCCCTTTTTCTTCTTTCATACTATGTCCTGTCCAAGAAATCTTTACCTATCCAAAGGTCAAAGATATTCTTTATTTTTTCTACAGTCTTCTAAGGTTTGCATTTATTAATAGATCTATGATCCATCTCTTTTTTTATGGTGTGTGCAGAGAAAATGAGAACAGATAAGGTTCATTTTATTTCATACAGATATCCAGATGTTTTACCAATATTGTTATACTTTTCCTTTCTCCATTGAATTAAATTGGCACCTCAGTCAAAAATTATATACATGTAGGTCTATTTCCTGGACTTTATTTTATTCCACTGATATTCTTAATACCACACTGTTACCATGGCTTTATAGTAAGTCTTGAAATCAGATAGTGCCATCCTTCCAACTTGTTCCTTTTCAAGATTGCTTTAGCTATTATATTTTAAGGTCTTTGTACTTCCACAGAAAATTTAAAATTAGGTAGTCTACTTAAAAAAAAAAGCCTAATGGAATATTGATAGTGATTGCATTAAATCTATAAATTAGGAAAAACAGACATCTTAACCAAAACTGAGTTTTCTAATTCATGAACATGCCATGTATCTCCCTCTATTTAGGCCATTTAATTTTTCTCTGTAACGTTTTGTCTTTTCAGTGCAGAGGTCTTCCACATCTTTTTTAATTTATTAAATTTTTATTCTTCATTATCGTTTTTTCCTCTTTCAGATCTAGACCTACAGATCTTTATATAGAATTGTTGCAAGGGTTTTTTTTGAGACAGAGTCTCACTCTGTTGTGCGGGCTAGAGTGCCATGGCATCAGCCTAGCTCACAGCAACCTCAAACTTCTGGGCTTAGGTAATCCTCCTGCCTCAGCCTCCTGAGTAGCTGGGACTATAGGCATGTGCCACCATGCCTGGCTAATTTTTTCTATATATTTTTAGTTGGCCAATTCATTTCTTTCTATTTTTAGTAGAGACAGGGTCTCGCTCTTGCTCAGACTGGTTTCGAACTCCTGACCTTGAGCGATCTGCCCGCCTTGGCCTTCCAGAGTGCTAGGATTACAGGTGTGAGCCACTGCACCAGGCCTGTTACAAGGTATTTGATGTTATTGCTGCTATTGAAAATGTTAATTGTTTCTAAAATTTAAGTTTCTAATCAGATCATCACTAGCATGTCCTGGCATTGATTCTTAAGATTTTGCTAAATTCATTTTTTTTTCTAGACTGCATAAGATTTTCTGTGTGAACACTCATATCATTTGTGACTACTGACTATCTTAATCCTTGTGTTTCAATGTTTACGACTTTTTCTTGACTGATAGTATGTAAGGCTATGTCCTCAAGAAGAAAGTTGAACAGAAATGGTAAGAGCAGACATCCTTGCTTTAGTATTTCACAAGTATGATATTAGGTATAGATTTTTTTCACAGATTCCCTATATCAGATTGAGGAATTTATATTCCTAGTTCGCTGAGTTTTTATAGTGTGAGGGGATGCTGAATTTAGTGAAACAGTTTTTCTGTAATAATTGAGATGACTAGTTCTGCAGTCATTGAGATGTGGGTTTTTTCCTTTATTCTGTTCATGAGTGATTGCACTGATTGACTTTCAAATGTTAAACCAACCTTGTCTTCCTGGAATAAGTCCTGTTTGGTCATGATGTATTATCATCATCTTTAAATACATTGCTGGGTTTAATTTGCTAATATTTTTAGGATTTTTATTTCTTTGTTCATGAGGCATATTGGTCTGTTTCTTCTATTTTTCAGATTTTATATCACATATGGTATTTCTTAGGAGCCATCTACTTAAGTATCATTTTGTCAAGGACCTAAGAAATGCAAAAATCAATTGTTTTGAAATGGTTTTTCAATCATGAAAAAAAAATTTTTTTAAGTCATCTGATTCTGTGAATTTCTTTATGTAAACAAAAAGCTGAAAAAAATCCAGGGAAAGAATTAAGATGTGAGATTATTTGCCAACTCAATGTTTTGTTCTTGCTAGTTATGTTCATCCCCTTTATTCTATTCATTTCATAGTAATAGGGAAAAAAAGAATTTTGCATTGAAAATTATGTAAGTTTCACAAAAATTTTTGAATTATAATGCATGACAGATAAAAAATTTGAGGTTCAAACTCCAGGTATGGTGAAATTTTATAGAAAATTATAGTAGTTTGTCAATTTGTAGTTTTGAAAGCCTTTCCTCTATTTCCATTCTATGAAAAGCAAGGAAATTCTCTTTGCCCAACTTAAAAATATAACTTTAATTAAAACTCCGAAAGTCAGAAGATAATTTCCATATCTGTATTTTAATAGTAAAAAAAATCTACAAACTTCATCTGCAATAAAGTATCATTTATGTAAAAAACAAAGCTTTACATATACACACATACTTTTACAAAATAGCAAAAAGGTCTAAAAGGATAACATTAAAATGAAAACAGCTATTACCTCTGGGGACAATAGTGTGGAGAATGCTAAATGCTTTTCAACAATGGTTTGAATTTTTTAGATGAGATTCTATTCTTGTATAATTTATGTAGTTCATATTAAAAAATCCTTTACACCAGCAAATCACAAGTCTTCACTGCATTAGAAAAACACACCCAACTGTTAAATTATATGCAGGTTCAAAAGTAGGGGTGACATAAAAGTAGTCCACACATTAAAATCCTATAATTAATGTTTTCCAATTATCTTTTGGGCAAGAATTTGCAAAACATATTTCAGTTACCTTTGAGTTATTTAGCAAATAGACTTAAAAAAGTTACTAGTAAACTCTCACTTTAAAAAATTTTCTTAATTTCTTTATGATTAAATTACTCTTCCCCAGACTTCTTTAATTAGATAAATATTTTATCCGAAAATGAATCACATTCTGAGTATTTAATATAACCACTACCACCAGTGTCAAAAAACATGAGCAGTAACTTGCTCACAAGTAGTGACTTAACATACTAAAAAACATCATACACAAAATTAAAAGAAGCGGCAAACAAGGAAAAGTATTTGCCACAGAGCACAGGCAAAAAGATCAGTCTCTTTAAAATATAAAGGTCTTAAAGTCCATAAGAAAAAGATCGATATTTCAAACTAATTACATATGGCCCAAACCAACATATGTTCACTCTCTAATAGCCAAAACAAAATAAACAATTAAAATAAGATTCTTTTTACCTACCAAATTTGCAATGAGTTTAAAAATGATAATACTCATTGTTGGTGGGTATACATTGGCATTCTCTTACACTTGCGTCGGTACAATGAATTGGTACAGATTTCTAAAGGACAATTTGACAGTTATCAAACTTCTTAAAAATGCCTTGTTGAATACTTAAAAAATAATTCATTCCAGTTAAGATTTCCACATTTATTTTAAATAAAGGTAGTTAAAAATAAAGAGAACTAAAAGACATTTTTACAGTTCAGGACAGAAGACTTAGTAAGTAGCATGCTCTGCTAAGCCAAAACAGCTATAAGCAAGGTTTCTCCAGCTCCCTTCTTTCTAAGGGAAACACACTGAACTCATTGTTCCTATGCATTTAATTCCTGCAAACATCACAGAATCAAGGCAGCCTTTCATGATACCAGAAGGGAAAGCATAGAGGGAATGGAGGAGTGGAATCCTGCATTTTTCCCATTACAGGGAATAAAGAAGAGGCAACAGGTTTTTATTCAAGCAAAGGAACTGAGTGTAATTATATTAAACTCTCATTTTAGCACTTTTCTATAAAGTTTCCTCAAACTTCTTTAATCAGTGATTTAAGATGGTCTAGGTGATATTCTTCTATGAAAGATTCTGCTTGATTCAAAGCTTTTATTTTCACCAGAATAAGAATTATTTCTTTAACTTCATCCCTGAAAGACAAAAGAAGAAAGCATTTCCCCTCTTTAAAATGTAACGTATGAGGGCACAGTGGTCAATTCAGGCCTAATCATCCTCATAAATCTAAAACAAGAGTTTACCTTATTAGCCAATATCTAAAGTAGCATAAAATACAGAGAGATGCTGCCTTCTCTACTTAATTATCAAGTTCAAATACAGGCTATTAGTGGATGTATTCTGAAAAATGTCAATGTTAATTACTGTAAAAAGTAGAAAGGAATAGAGTAAATTTACATAATCAGAAATTTTAGTAGTGCTGTGCTGCTACCAGCTTGTAGGGGACATTATGGTGGAAGCCACGGTGGGAGTATTTACACCATGGACATTAGCAAATGCTACAAATCTAGGCTTTTTTGTTTTTTATTTTTGGAGAGGTGGTTTACAAGACCACCACTGTATTTATGTCCCTAAACATCTCGTGTGGTGAATGATACATTCAAAATGGAGATCTAGTTACTGTTGGGTAATACCAGGCTGCAGTCTTTTATCTAGCACAAGTGTTGAGTCTTTAAAAATGACCACGAAAATTAAAACACATTTTAAAAATGCTTAATAAAAGTTTTACATTTACAGTTTTAATTCTAAATTGCCCTGTGTTTATGTTAGTTTTCCAGAAGTGCTTATTTTGGAAGACATTTACATTTTAAAACATGAACATGCATGACCATCCCAAAAGTAACTATAAAAATATCCAGTAACTCTATCACAAAGGCTCAACAAAGATTTTAAAGTATAGTAAAAATACTAATCTTTGTAAAAATTGCTGAGAAAATACAGAATCCTTGAACTATGCTTATGGAGTTGAAAATGAAATATGCATTACCTGAATTCACTTCCAGATAATTTATGTGCAGACTGCAATAAAAACTGAATGAAGTTTTCTAGCTGGGGAATAGATGTCCTCATGGCAGAATTTTCAAACCATTTTTCTGGTAGACATGCTGTTATCTGTTAATCAAAACACATGGCTGGTTTACAATAACGACAGTTATCTAAGGACTATTACTAACATAATCTCATAGTGATACTGCAAGTTGAACATTAGTCTCCCCACTTTACAGTTTATGGTTAAATAAAAATTGTTTAAAATTTCCTTTTTTCAAAGGTTATATACATTTAAAAAAATCTATTCTTCAATGCTAAGAATGGAAAATAGACTATTATGAACACACCTCAACATACTGTCATTCTTTCTATATTCTTGTATGCCTGAGCCCTCAAACCTGCACAAAATATAATTTACAAAACCTTAGAAACATCTAGATACAAGACAGTTTTAGTAAACACAACTATAAAATACATTATTTTTTCATATAGAAAATGGGCATATTATCTATATAAACAAATTAGAGTTAAGGAATCAAATGGGTGATTTTACTAAGATACATAGAATGAAAGCTTAGTTATGGTTTTGATCTTCCACCAATTTAATATAGTGTTTTAAATGTCCATGGCAGCCAAGTGAGTCAATGTAGGTACATTCAATTTTAGGGAGAAAAAATAATATTTTATCTTCATCATCATCCTAAGAATAATATAAGATTTGGGGGGAAGTTTTGATAAAAACAGAAAAATGTTAAAAAAAAATTTTAAAAAAAACAAAACTAAAAGATTCCTCATAGCAGAAAGAAGGAAAAAAGAAAAAAGAGAAAAGGAGGAAGGAAAACCTGATATCACTATTAAAAGAAATTTCTGGATAATCAAATAGGTTATATTACAGTTGGTAAGGTCAGGATCAATATTTATAGAAAGTAGAGAGTTTGGGGGGGGAAAACATACCAAATATGTATTATAAAATAATAGAAAAAGACTTTATTCCTTAATCACCATTTAAATTATTCAGAAAAAACCAGAAATATCGATTGCCTAAGGCAGGTCTTACAGGTTTTGTTGCACAAACTTTTTTTTATTTCAGCATATTATAGGGGTACAAATGTTTAGATTACGTATGTTGCCCTTGCCCCCCGCCCCCAGTCAGAGCTTCAAGAGTGTCCATCCCCCAGATGGTGTGCATCACACTCATAAATTATGTATGTATATACCCATCCCCTCCTCCCCCCTCCCATCCAATGATGAATGTTAAACTCTTTAAAACCAGACTTAAGGGCTTGGAATTTAATGTCATTTGCACTTGCTTTCCTCTTATTTTGCATTATAAGTCTCAAAATTCTCATTGAGCTATGTAGTTGTTCCATAATGATCTGAGGACTTAAAGTAATATTTTGTTTGCCAGGTTTTCTAACCATATGTTGTGGGGAGAATACTGTGTAAATATATTTCCTTTTCTCTACTTAATAGTAGACAATTATGATCAAAGGGGACAGTTTAACAACATAACATAGATGATGACTTACATTTTTGATGTATGTTTAAAACTGCATAATATAAAAACTATAGCCAGAAAAATCATGGTTGGCTAAGAACTGATATATAAAGTTTCATGTGTTGTTTATTTTTAAAATCATATTATAAAACATGTATTTTCCTATATTCTTAAAATTCTTCAACAATATAAGTTTTATCTTATGAATAGACCATAATGCTTTTTGGGACATTTAGGGTGTTTCCAACTCTCTTCTATTATAAATGATGCTACAACAATATTCTTTTATCTTAAAATCTATATGTGCATCTGATTTTTGACTTAGGATAAATTTCTAGAAGATTTAGTTTGGCTAAGTCAAAGCATATCAACTTTAAAAGTTTTGTAACCATCATGCCAAAATATTCTTCAAAAGAGCTGCTGTATATCCCTCCTTTCACCAGTGCAGAAGACTGTCTTCCAGAACTACCATATCGAACATTCTAGGTGAATGGTACCCCGGGAATGATAGCACTGTTATTTCTCTGTGCTTATGTGACACTGGGAATTATAATTAAAACACCAGCCAAAAAATGCTTGCCAACACTACTGGTAAAATAAATATCTTTCTTATAAAATAATTTGCATTTCTGATGATTAGTGTTAATTATTTCCACATGTTTCAAGGTTATTCTTTGCTTATTCTTTTTTTAAAAAAGTTTTTTTGAGGCAGGGTCTTGCTCTGTTGTCCATGCTAGAGTGCAGAGGCATCATCATAGCCCACAGCAACCTCAAACCCCTGGGCTCAAGTGATCTTCCTGCCTCAACCCTGAGTAACTGGGACTACAGCCATGCCACGCCCAGCTAATTTTTCTATTTTTTGGTAGAGAAGAGGTCTTGTCATGCTCAGGATGGTCTAGAACTCCTGGCTTCAAGTGATCCTTCCACCTCAGCCTCACAACAAGCTAGGATTACAGGCGTGAGCCACCATATCTGGCTTACTCAACGTTTTTTGGTGACATGACCATTGTCACGTGTTTGGGCCATTTTTAATCAGAACATTTGAATTATTTACTGATTTGTCAAAAGCTTTTTTATTTAATATAGGTATTAAACAACAGTAGAAGGAATAGTATAGTGAACTCAGTTTTAATCCCCCAGTTTTAATAATGACCAATTAACCTTTTTGGCTTATTTATTTATTTTTTTATCTACTGAAGTTTTACATTTTTGTCAAATCTTTTACTTTTTTGCATCATATCTTCTTTTGCCTTTAAGTTTAGAAAGGACTCCCTCACTCTCACATACAGTCATTTATCATCTTAGTATATCATATAGATTTCTTTTTACATTTAATTTTTATTTCACTTGAAATTTATATTGACAGATAGTAAGAAGTGAGGATCTAAAATTCTTTTTGTAAACAGACAGTTGTTTGAACATCATTTATTAAGTAATTTTTCCTTTCCCTACTGGTGATATTTTAAACCAGTATACTATTACTTAAATATAGAGGAGCAGTTCTGGGTTTCTAATGTTAAATTGATTTGTCTATTTTTATGTGAGTGTCACAATTTTAATTATTTTTGCTACAAAACAGAATTTAACAGCTAAATTTTTAAAAATAAGATTAGAATCAGTTCTTACACAACTTACCTGTTTACACTTTTTAACAACATCTGGCCCAGGTATGGCATTATGAAGAGCTATGATAAGGTAACGATTTAGCAGCTTCCCTAGTCCTAATTCTTGCAAGGTGTCATCTGAGAGGAGTCCATTCCAAAGAAGAATGTTGCTAAAGAGCTAAAATAAAATACCAAATAAATATGCACTTTTTTCTTGAAAGAGAAACTGTAATAGTCTCTAAGAAACATAAAGAGTTGGTCAAACTTACTACAATTAGCCCTGTTGGAACTGTCAATTTTAGAATAGGACATCTCTGAATAAATACCTGATTTTTTCCAACTTCCATGTATTTGCTCATCTTATTTTTTTTAATATATATTCTTTTGAAAACATATCTATTCAAATCTTTTGCCCATTTTTAATTGATTTCATCTTATTTAAAGTAATAACTATTTAGATACAAGTTCTTTATAAGATATGTTTTGTAAATAGTCTCTGGCAGGTATCTTTTGAAGTGCAAAGGGTCTGAATTGTTTTGAAGAAAATATGAGTGTTTTTGATTTTGTTGTTTTTTCTCAATTGTGGTAAAACATGTATAACATAAAATTTATCATCTTAATCATTTTTAAGTGTACAGTAATATGTTAATTGCATTCCCATTGTTGTGCAACAATTTCCAGGACCCTTTTCATCTTGCAAAACTAAAACTCTGCCCCCTCATCCCATTACACACTAACTCCAATTCTCCCCTTCCACAGCCATGGTACCATCATTCTGCTTTCTGTCTCGATGACTTTGACTCCATCTTATTTTTGTTTCACCTCCAAATCTGTCTCAAATAACTTCACTGGAACCTTTCCAAAACAATAATCTTCCCCAACTCATTCTCTCTCAGAGCCTGGGGCTACTGAGTATAAGATCACCAGACCCCGGGATTCATAAAGGGCTGTCAAAGTTAGTGCCACTGTTACCTGTGTGTGATCTTGAGAAGTCAATCAATGCTGAGAGCTTCATTGGTCTGATATACAAAATAAAATTATCTTCAAACCTATCAGTCTGTAGATAACTTGGGTAAAGTACCCATAATAACTTCTAAAAAGATAAATATACGTTGGCTTTCCCTCTACTACATCTAGATCTTTCTATGAATTTTATGGTATTTCCTACTTTCTTTCCAGTACTGTATTTCATGTGATGCCTTTTCACATTTTATGTCATTATTGATGTTGCTCTGTCTTCCTAGAAAGCCTTTTCCTGACTCAACCAAATCATAAATATTAATTCACCCTATTGAAACTATTCTTGCTGGGGTTATTCATGTCCTTCTAATAGTCAAATCCAATAAACATTTTCAGTCTTTCTCCTCATTCTCTTTGGTGGCATTTAATACTCTTCTTCATTCTTGAAAATCTTTCATTTTGCTTCCTTGAGGCCACTCTCTTGTGACCCTTCTAAGGCTCACAATTCATTCTGAAGTTTCTTTGAACTACTTTGCCTCTACTTTCTCTGCCCTGCCTCTTCTGTAAGTATTCCCTTAGCTTTCTTCTCATGCTTCATGTAATCTTCTCAGAGCTTGTCATTCATGACCATGGCTCCAAATACTGCCTACATGTAGCTAACTCCCACATTTCCAGCTCAGATCTGTCTCCAGAAATTCAGGCTTAAATATCCAACTACTTCTTAGTCCTCTATGTCTCTATTTCTCTCACAGATACCTTCAACTCGATAGTTCCAAAACAGATCTTATCTTCCCTTTCAAACCTTTTCTTCTTCCTATATTCCCTACAATGTCCCTAAAGAATGCCATAAGCTACACCAAGTTGTCAAACTCAAACATGGCTATGGCCCACATGCCTCACATGTAATTAATTAGCTATTATTAGTTATTTCAATGCTCAACTTAAACATCATTTGAACCCATCTTCTCCTTACTATCCCTACATTCACTGACTTAGCAATAACTTTTATCTTTTAGACCACTGGTTAGCCAACTATGGCCTGTGGCTTAAATCCAGCCTGCTGCCTGTTTTTGTAGGGTCTGTGAGCTAAAAATGGTTTTAAAATTTTTAAATGACACTTAAAAACTGTTAAAAAAATATTTTGTAACATGAAAATTACATGACATTCAAATTTCAGTATCTCCAAAAGTAAAGTTTAATCGAAAACATAGCCATGTTCATTTGTTTACCTATTTTCTATGACTACTTTTGTGCTACAGTGGCAGAGTTGAGTAGTTCAACAGAAACTATATAACTTGCAAAGTCTAAAATATTTACTATTTGGTCCTTACAGAAGAAGTTTGCTGTTGTTTGTTCTATAGTAAACTGGTTAAAAAAAAAATCTGGATTTTATTTTTGTAGTTTTTGCTTACCTTTAGACCTGACCAGAACTGTCTTTCTTGGAACTTTGAATGTGGCGATGTTTTGTTTTCTATAGCACTAATTTGAAACAAAAGGAAGAAATGTAAAGACACGTTATTCTTTCAGAACTAGATTTTTTAAAAACAAATTTTCTTTTAGCCAACCAAACTAAACCTTAATGGAATATAAACAGAGATGCTCTGATGGTTACAAATGCATGCACGCTCTGACCCAAACAATCCCATTTTTGAGAATGCCTCTTATAGATATACTGTGCATGTATACAGAACTCAGTGTCTATGAGATTATTTACAATACCACTGTTGGTAATATTTTGCTGTTCACATGCCCATCGGTCATAGCACATCTACATGATGGCATAATGTGCAGCTTAAAAAAGAATGAGGTAACTATTGATATGGTTGATGACATGAAAAGATCTTAAAGATGTAAAAAAGGGTACAAAGCGCGTTACAACTGTTTACACTATACTTCCTTTGCAGTAGAAAGGAGGGGGAAATAAGATTACAGCATACCTAAGTACTGACTTCTATTTGCATGAAGAAATTATGGAACTATGAGCAAAAATTACTAACAGTGATTACTACTGCAAGAATGTATGTGTATACAGGGGAATGGCAAAAACTGAGTGGATGGAGGTCAGGGGTGGGAGCAAGAAAAACTTTTCATTTTAAATATAAATAGATGAATGAATAAACTACATCCATACTTTTAACCATGTGAATATTACTTATCTAAAACATTACAGAACATACTTTACTAGGGCAGAATTTTTATATCTCCTCATGACTCAAAATAACTTAGAAAGCCCTGAGGTTCCTTTTTCCCTCACTCAAAGCTCTTTCACCCTGTGAGTACTCACTGGATTGCTACAGTTCATGAATCATTACTATTAACTGATGTCTTCTAAGTAAATGTATGACCATGATCAAATACTACTTGCTTCATAATCTAAAGTGAATACAGAATTACAGTTGCAGTTTCTGGTCTCTTAGTAATGTTCCAGACCTTATGCTGTGCTTCCTCTGTGCTACACACTGTTCTATTCTGAGCACTCTCCATCTCCCTATCGTAATGTGAGTAGGCACTACCCCATTTTATAGATGAGGAAACTGATGCATAGAAAGGCCCAAGGTCAAGTATCTACTCATGGTGGATGTGGGCTCTAGAATCTGTGCTTTTTACCACTCTATGTTCCTTTTTACCACCTCTCATGTTCCTAAGATACACTAAAAAAAAAAAAATACTGTGTCCCAGTGCCAAGCATAATGTATGGGATATATTAGGTGGCAAAAAATAATTGCTGAAATCTTAATTTGCATCTTGCATTCATAGAATGTGTATGCATGTTTTGAAAACACTTAATGTAGTTTCTTTTGTATTATATTCTTAAATCTGTATTCCATGATTAGCTATTTCAAACAATCTAGAAATTAATAGCTCTTACCTCTTTGGATAAAGAGGAATAAAAACATCATCTTCTATTGCCTTCTTCATTCTTGAAACAATGGATTTAAGTAAATCCTATTATTTAAAAATTTCAAAAGTGTCAGTTATAGTCATAGGTAGAAATATATTTACCAAAAATATAATTTCCACAAATTTTTACATACAGAATCAGCTGTTAAAATAACTATCAACTGCATTTTCTTGTACCTTATTCATCCATGTTGTATATGGCTGAATGTAGTTGGATCATTTTCATTGCTGTATAGTATTTTGTTACTGATGGAACACTTAGATGGTTTCTAGTTTGGGGGCTATTACAAATAATGCTGCTATAGAAGTTCTCGTATATATCTTTTAGTATGCACGGGCATACATTTCTAATGGGTCTACAGACAGGAATGGAATTGCTGGAATATAGCTCACGTCTGTATGTTCACCCATGTATTATACAAAATACCAAACTGTTTTCTAGAATAGGAACACAAGCTGTTGAAAGAAATCCTGTTTCTTCACATGCTTATCAAAACTTGGTATATTTTTGTTTTTTAACATTTGCAAATCTGGTGGGTATGCAGTCATATTTCACTGTGTTGTTTCAATTTTCATTTCCCTGTTATGTGATGTGATGTTGGGCATTTTCTCATATTCTTATTTGCCATTTGGCAAGCCCCTTCTGCAAAGTACCTAATTAAACTGCTTGTTTATGTTTCTATTTTTTTTTTAATTAGGTTCTGTCTTTTTATTGATTTGTAGAAGCCTTTGATATACTCTAGCTATGGGCCCTTTGTTGCTTTGTCTGTGTCCTTTGATACAGCAAATTCATTTTGGCAAATTCATTTTGTTTGTATATCAAAAATTAGAAACAACCAAACTATTCAATCATAGGGAATTTTAAGGGCGTCATCTTATATCCACCAACTGTATGGAAATATTAATTACCTAAAGTTTATGAAGACTATAGTAATATATAAATGTAAATATGTAATAAGATAATGTTAAGCAGAAGAAGGATACAAATTCACTTGTCTAATAATAGGGTTATAACCTTGGAAAAAAACTGGATGAAAATAACCTATAATGGTATCAGTCCTTCTATTAGGATGAAAAGATAATGGGAGTTTAAAATATTTTTTCATGTATCAGCAGAATCCATATTTGAAAGATAAAAATGGGATACTTCACACTAGAGTATATTTTTTAAGTCAATGACAATATATGTAGACAAATTAAGCTGTTACATACTCTATACTAATTAAATTAGGCATAAATATAGAATTCGACCAAGCATATTTTTTCATGAAAAGTATACTGAAGTCCTGTTTCTTTTTCTACTGGATTATCTATAATGTATTCCTCAAGTGGCCATATAGCAATATTTAATTAACATTAAAAACAAACAAAACCTGTGTTTTATACCATTTCTTAAACATTGTGAATTCTGTTAAAAGAAAAAAAGATAATTTTCTAGACAACATCTCTAACAAATAGTATCTGAGGCTTATGTAAATTTTTTTTTTTTAATACAGGATCTATGTTTCCCAGGCTGGTCTTGAACTCCTGGGCTTAAGCAATCCTCCACCTCAGCCTCGTGAGTAGCTAGGAATATACGTACATACCACAGCACCCAGAAATTACTGAGTTATGTGTCTGTTCTAGAAAAGAAAGCTATGTTTTGATTTTTTCATTTAATTTTAATAATTTTGAATGCCAACTTTGACAAATATTTCCATATTGTTTAAATTTTGTTTCTTAAAACAGTTCTCTAAAGTAGTGCTATAATGGACCTTATTGAGTCAACTGATAAACACGGCATATGGAAGGTAGATCAGGTGTAGATAAATTTACTGAAATTGCTAACTATACTATGGTTATGCAACAGAATATCCTTATTCTTAGCAAATATGCACCTTATTCTCAATGTGTTCAAGAGAAAAGTATTGTGTGTATAGATATGAAACGGGAAAACAAATGGACAAAATATTAACAATAAGTGAATCTGGATGAAGGGCATATGGGCTCTTATTCACGAAACTTTTCTGTAAGTTTGAAATTATTTCCAAATACACAGATTAAAACAAAACAATTCACATATTTTAAAACTATGAGTTCATCAGCTTTTCTAAGTTTTAAGATAACACCATATATTTGGTGGAAAAAAGGTTCTCTAAACAGTAGTTACCATAAACATTCTGAACCGCATGTTCAGACTCACACATATGCACACACAGTTCTCTGTATTTATATTTATGCTTTAAAACACCTTTGAAGAGGCACTTATATACACTAGTTGGTGGTTTTTAATGCTGCTGTGTATATCCAAGGAGGTAATTTCAGGGTGGCTTGGGCAGATGTCCGGGTGCTTGCTACAGCAGAAGCAATTTTGTTTTTGTATGTATGTTTGTGTGCTGGGTTGTGTAAGATTTAATTGAAATAGGTTCTGCTGATAAAAAAAAAGAAGTTTGAAAATCACCAATCTATCTGAACACCCAACTGATGGTGAGATTCATTTTCACATCTCTACTAGCTAGCCAATCACCTACACCTAAAAACATTCAGTGATAGGGAATCCCAATCTCTTGAGGCTTCCCACAACTTCGGACAGCTTTTGACTATCAGATTTCAGTTAACAATGAGAGTTAGCCAACTTCTCTCTCCTACAGCTTCCACTCATTGGTCTTAGTTTACTTCTTGGGATCATACAGAATAAATCTAATCCTCCCCTCCATATGACAATTCTTCAGATTTTGAGAATGATATCACACTCTTCTACATCTTCTCTTTTCCATACCATGTTAAGGCACTCTCCACTTAATATGCTTACATCCAGAATTAACACAATGTTTCCAGAAAAGTCTAATCTGTGGGGTAGAGCACATACACACCAATTTTACTCAGAACACATCTAGTAGGATAAACTCCCATTAGTTTTTCAGTTACACAAATGACACTGTTGACTCATGCTGGGTTTACTGATTATCATCTCTCTGCCTTACCTATGCTGCTGCAAACCTGTGTCTCTCCCATCTTTTATTTGTGCATTAAAATTTTAAGCACAAGAGTAGGTGTATTTATTATTCCTTTTACATTTTATCTTTGAGTATCAGTCCATTTTCTCCAATCTTTTGAGATCCTTTTGGATTCTAATTCTACTATTCATAGGTAAATGATAGAATTCCTTAGCTTTTTGTCATTGACAAATTTTATTAGCATGTATTTTACATCTTTATCCAGTTCAGTAAAAATATCGAACAGGGCAAAGCTGAGAAGATACCTAATACTTACAGACGCCCCTTAGGCAGCCAGAGCCCTGCTGGTCAGAATTCTTTAGGTACACTCCACTAGTTTCTATGTATCTAACTATACCACTGCAAGCTTATATTTCCTCATTTAATCTACAAGAACAGTCATAACGCATTAAATACACTTTCTACTGTACCATATCTATACAGTAGGTAACCTTATTTATCAGTGAAAGTAAACTAGATAATATGGGAGAATTTGCTTGGAAAACAATGTTAAGTGTCATTTGTATTTAGAAATCCTATTAATGACTGATCATGGTAATCACTGCTTTCTGTTTTTAAGTGTTCATAATCCACTTCTGTAATAATTTATTTTAGAACTTTAAACAAAATGAAAACTATTCTCACCATGCATTAGCTTACAGAATGCATTTGCTCTTTACTTTGAAAATAACTATGCTGTCTGACTCCATTCTTCAAAACTGTTCTCATTCTCATCTGTCACTAGAAAGAATACAAGGGTCTCGTGGCAAACTATATTATGTAGTCCAGTGATTCCCCACCAGGAGTCATTTTGCCATCTCCAGGGAATATCTTACAATGTGTAGAGACATTTTAGGTTGTCAAAACCGGGGAGTGCTACCAGTGTCTAAGCAGACAGAGGCCCGACAGGGGTAGGAAACTGCAGCCTCAAGGCCACAATGTCGCCCTCCACATCCCCAAGTGAGACCCCTTGACTGAGTCCAAACTTTACAGAACTCCTTGTAATAAATGGATTTGTTCTGTGAAGTCTGGATTCAGTCAAAAGGCTGCACTCAAGGATCCAGAAGGCCGTATGTGGCCCCAAGGCCATAGGTTCCCCACCCTAATTTGGTCTAGGGTGCAGAGACTGAAAAACCCTGATGTAATCTAGCCACCTACTAATGGAAAGAACCCATTTTCTACATTCATAATGGAGGGATTTCAGAATAAAAAATTTCCAGCATAAAAACTTCACAAGTGAATCTGTAACAATAGTGAAAGGTTTTAGTGATTATAAAGTGCCAGGGCTGCCACTTAGTACTCAAGTGGTCTTTTGCAAGTGACTTAGCCCTTCTCGGCCCCAGCTTCATCATCAGTAAAATACAATTAAAATCAACACATTTCACAGGGTTATGAGGATCAAGTGAGACAATGAGAAAGTATTTAATAATTGGTAGAGTACTATTTATATTTAGGTTATAATTACATGGCACAAATACAGGATTATGTATCTGCTTCCTGAAGCATTTACCTACTAATCCTAGTTCTATGCTCTGTAATAACACAAAATAAGTCTACTCCTTTTTTGAATATAAACACCGTCTCCACGCACATCTTTTAAGTCAATCTAATTCCTGCAATGGTTTTTAAATATATTTTCCTTGTGTTTTTATCCTTTGTAGCTAAGTAGGAAATATCTTTGCTCTAACAGTTGCCCCATATTCAAATACTATCCTTTCCTTCAAGTCTCAGCTCAATTTCCACCTCTAACATAAATTATTTCCTAGTCTTCACTGCTGAAAGCAACCTCTCTCTCTCAAAGTTTCATAGCACTTTATCTGTGCAGCTCATGGGGAGGCAATGTGGTAAGGCAAACTTGGGCTTTAGAGGCAGACTAACCAAGATTCAAAACCTAGTTCTAATTCATGGTTTATTGTGAACAAGCTTTCGAGATTCATTTTCTTCATAAAATGAGGCTATCACCCATATTTTATAGGGCTGCTGGGATGAAGTGAGATGACAAAGGTTCAAGACCCAACAGAATAGTACATAGCAGGAATTAGGTATTTCCTGTCTTCCCTACTTCTTCCACTTCTCACTTCCTGTTTTAAATTATAGTTTATGTACATCTTACTTCCTCTAAGATTACACACTTCTTGAAGGCAGAATCATGCTAGTATTGCTCTTTTCCCTTTCACTTCTTATAGCTTTCCTCCTTCGTGATCACAATTAGAAGTGCTAAAATTCAATGGCATTCAAAATATGAATATGACATGCCTCCCTGCTTTTCAACCACTGCAGTCATTCTAGTCTGGTTGCTCTTCAGTCTGTCAATCCCTCCTTTAATTTCCTAAAGCTCAACATAAAATTAGTTTATCACATATCTGCATGAGAATAAAACAATCTCTTCAACAAAAGAATAAAAAACAGAATACCACAAAGAAAGTGAGATTCAATAGACTCTCAGCAAGGCCTCTGTAAAAAGTACCTCAATATATCATATGTTTCATAAACTCAATTCTCGATCACTGTAAAATTAAGATCTGTCTCACCAAACTTTAAATCTTTAAAGAGACCCGCACTTTTAAGAGATTACAAATAGCTAGTTAATATAATGAATGTTAGCCTAATTTTGAAACCTTCATTGTAATAAGGCCACAATGCCACTAGATTTTTGCCCAAAGAACAAAGGTAATGAGTTTTGTTTTGTTTTTTTTGTTCTGGAAGAAATGAATTTGCAGTAATGCATTTATGCCTGTGCATCTATGCAGGGCCAATGTATATTCACAATCCTGAGAGATGGTTGTCTAGGCCATGAGAACAGAAATCAGATCATTGGAGAGACAGAAATAAGCCAATATGAATGAGAGTGATAATCTGTCACATTACATGTATGTGTATACTTTAATTAATAATGATTACCAATCCTGTTATAGCATTTCAAAGTATCAATGTATATTCTTTCGTCTTATAATTATAAAGAGGAAAAATGGCCAATCCTAGCTTCTATAAATCAGAAGTAAATATATATTTTCCCTAGTTTCCTGACAATTATTTCTGCATCTTCTATAAACAAAGATTTATAATAAAATTATATTGATTTTCAAATAAATCAAGAAATTTCATAATTCCAGAAATCATTACCTGTTTGCTTTTACTAACTTCATTTTCACAAGTGGAATGTTCTTCAAGAATCACTCTGCAGTGCGTTATTAAACTTGTTGTCTGTGAGGTTGACAAGGGATCCCAAATGAATTCTACAAAGTCTGAAACAAATATTTCAGTGGTACACAATATATTTACTGGATTGTTTTGCCACACATACACAAATAACTGAGGCCTTCAGCAAAGACTACTTCGCTCCTCATTGGGTTTTAAATCCATGACCAATCATTAATTATTTGCATACATCCTCAATTTCTTTGTCCTTATTAGGTTTTGCTGAATTCACCTGGCTAAACCACAACCCTGGCTAAATTCACTTTGTCACCACGTCTGTGCCTAGAACCATGCAGCTAAAATGTGGCTAGAAAAAAAAAAATCACACTGATTGTCATAAAACTCAAGGCGAGCCCTTAATGCTGCCCAGCAATCATATTCTCTCTCCCTGGTCCTTTTACTCTCTCTTGCCTAGATGAGTATTTCATACCTTCTTTCTCCTCCTTGCTCTCACTCTCAGTTGATAGATTTTACTCCTCTAGGTGATTTCTTTTTTTTTTTTTTGATAGAGTTTCACTCTATCACCCCAGGTAGAGTGCAGTGGCATCACTACAGCTCACTGTAACCTGAAACTTGTGGGCTCAAGTGATCCTCCTGACTCAGCCTCCCGAGTAGCTGGTACTACAGGTACACACCACCACACCCTGCTAATTTTTCTATTTTTGGTAGAGATGGGGTCTTGCTCTTGCTCAGGCTGATCTCGAACTCCTGACCCCAAGCGATCCTCCTGCCTTGGCCTCCCAGAGTGCTAGGATTGCAGGTGTGAGCCGCTCCACCTGGCCAGATTACTTCTTACTTTCTTTTTTCTCCTCCCTTGCTTGCTGTCTCTTTCAGTTGAATACTTTACTTCGTGACTTGATAAGAAAATAGAAGCATTCAGAAGAGAAGCTCTACAAGATCCTACCACAGCACCTGCACAGCCACCTGCCTCTGTGCCCTATTTGTATGGATGAAACACCCGTGCTCCCTGTTAAGGCCAACCCTTTATTTGTGCACGAGATCCCAACCCCTCCTACTTACTCTAAGATCCTGCTCATGGAATTCTGTCCTTGCACTTTGGTATTGTCATTACTTCTCCTGAGTCTTTCCCATCAGCCTACAATTACTTCTTTTGTATTAAAAATAATCCCCCTCTTAACCCTACTTCTCCCTCCAGTACTGCCCCATTTCTTTCCTACCTTTTACAACTAAATCCCTCAAAATAATGTTTAAACTTCTATCTCCAATTTCTCTCTTCCCATTTGTTCTTAAATTCCCTTCAATTAGGCCTTCTCACTCACCATTCTTCCTAAACAGATGGTATTCACATAGCAAACTCCAATGGCTGATTCTAATCCCACCAACAGTAGATCATTCTTTCTTTCTAGAAACACTTTCTTTACTTGGCTTGCAGAATAACACACTCCTGGTTTCCTGCCTAGCTCTCTGGTCTTCGCTGGCTGTGTGTTACCTCTTTGCTGCATTACCACAGGATTCAGGTCACTTACCTTCTCTTTCCTATTCACATTCACTCACTTAGTATTTAAAGTCAGTTTTATGGCTTTAAGTACCATCAATATGGTGATAAATTCCAAATTTATAGCCCTAACTAGACCTCCACCTTTAAGACTCATTTATTCAACAATCTACTTGACATTTCCACTTAATTACAGGCATCTCAAACTCAACCTGTCCCAGACTGAGCTCCTGACATACTTCCCCACTCTGAGCTTAAGCATTCCTTAGTCATTTCCCTTTCAGAAGATGGCAACTCTGTCCTTGTAGTTGCTCAGGCCAAAAACCATAGAATCATTCTTGACCTTCTCTTTCTCTCTTGCCCCACAACCAATCCATTAGCAAAGATGTTGGTGACACTTTGAAATAGTTGCAGAATCCAATCACTATAGGAACCCCACCAGTATTCTCATAAAGACACTTATTTGTGGAACTGTTTAATCATATGTGTTTGGATACAAAACACACACAGAGAAGAAACAATAAAAGATGTTAAGGGAAAGAAAGAGACGTGTGTAGTATGGGTGGAACTGTGCTGCTAGCAAACAACTGAAGTGTCGCAGATGCAGCAGTAATGTCACAAATAGTAAAGGCTCAGACTATGAGCAGTTTGGCAGCACTTGAGCAAACAAGCATTTTATAAAAATTCCTATTCTTTTAAATTTCAGAATATTAGGAGGGTACATACGTTTTGGGTACATGATTTGCTTTTGTGCAGTTGAGTCAAAGTTCTAAGTGTGCCCATCACCAAGACAGCATGCACTGTATCTGTTAAGTGTGTATTTACCTGCTTCCCATAATCCCCCCCCAAATAAGCATTTTTTTAAACCAGTTTAAATTTGGCATTTATTGATTTTTACTGCATATGACATTCCCTGTTTCAAAAACTTCTGAAAAAAATACATGTGAATATAACAGAAATTAATTACCTTATACTCTGTCAAAAAATAATTTAATTCTATCAAGATTATGAAGCAGTACCTGTAAGTCGGGGGATAACTGTTTTGTTGATGACAGCAGACAAGATTTTTTTATCTGAACTATCTTCCTTTTTTGAATCTTCCATAAATTCTTCTACAGATGTGAACCATGGCATCTGTTTTAAATCTATGGAATCCAGCTTACAAATGAAATTATAAAAGTTATAAATAAAATTTTAAGCATATTTAAAAATAGTTATTAACTTTTTAAATAATCACCAGTCCTTTTCCAAGGATCAAAGAACAATTCCATATTTTAACACTGTATATATAGCACTAGACCATTAAGGCTAGGCAACGTTATAAGACTATGACATGTTGTCTAAGCAATATATAATACCAAGAAGCTGCATTTCATGCATTCATTCATGCAACAAACACTCAGCAACTGCCTACTATGTGCCAGAACCTTTAGAACCTACCACATGGCAAGTACTCTGCTAGGAGCAAAATAAACACTTGTTAGGCACTTGAAATAGTCATGGAATTTGTTTATAAAAATTTATTCACCTCATGCAAAGTTTACTTCTGGTCCTTTCAATTCTCACAAGCATGAATGTGTAATTTTTATGTAGTTTAGCTAAAGATCCCATCACACAGTAGGCAGTTGTTGAGTTCATATCTTTGAATTCTAGATCTGAACATCAGTGTAATCTCTAGCTCCTAAACTAATTTTCTTTTTTTTATACCTTACCAAACACTTGTCCCTTTCTGTCTCCTCCTGTTAATCCTATATATTCTTCAAAGCCTCACTTAAATTCCCCCTCAATGCAACACTGACTAACTCTTCCCAATATGTCCTCTCCAACTCTAGAACTCTTGGAACAAGGCTTGCATGTCTAATTTCCTCAAACCCAGTATTACCTTGTACTTTTGCAGGGGGGATTTCAAACTTTTATATAGAAACAGCCAAAAAAATGTTTGCTTTACTGATATTTAGTGCTGCTCAGCCTTAAAAATCAAGTCAGAGCCAAGAAAAGAAGAATGTAGCTTAAAGTATACATTTCCAGACTATTGTCCCAAAGCTCTAAACTTCAGCTCCAACTCTAGGTATTTAACAGTTAACCTGATAGCAAAGAAATTGAAGTAACTAATGTGATAAGGATAATTTCTTGCATGTTAATCATAAATACCTTAAGAGGATTCCAGTGAATCAACTGAACTCGTATTAGGGGATTTAAAAGCTTTGGTATGCATAAACCAATGAAAGCTTCATAATAGGAATCAGGAAACTTTTCTCGCCATTGCTGAAATTTCAACAAAATATTCTGGATGTTACAAAAATCATCATGCACATCTTCAAAAACTTTCTTCTGATTCTGTAAAATGTCATCTGTAAACAAAATGAGATTCTTTATATTATACATTTTAAGTTTGTGAATTTTAAGCTTGCTTCTTGTAAATAGTCACCCATGATTGTAATCAATTGAGCTCAAAACTTTCCTTTGGTATTAACATATAAATTCATTTTTATTAAAAAAATTATCACTTTAGCCACAAGCCTAACAACATCAACACTAATAAAATCTCGAGCCTCTGCTGTTTGCCAATATATTATAAATACACTAATCTCATTCCCTTCTTCATAACTATCTTCCCTACAATACAGGTAAAGCCTGCTTATGTACAAACAAAAGAACAACATCGATATTAGATCAAGGAATATGTCTAAGATCACACAGAATAAAGTGGGTCTTTGAACCCAAGTCTACTTAACTCCAGAAGCTAGAATCTTTCAACTATACACATTTTACCTTATAATGTTAAAAATGGTTTTGCTAAATTGTTTCAAATTAAAAATGGTAATATAGGAAGTATGTGGTACAGAAATGAAACTATTCACATTTGTAATAGGACAAAAGCTGAGTGAAAAATACTACAAAGATGCAAGAATACTCACAATACTCCTCTCCTTCTTTTATTTCCATTTTTCCAGAGGTAGGAAAAGAGTTTTAAAAGGAGAAAAAATTTTCCATTTTTCCTGAATTTTCCAAATTGTTTCATATAGCTTATGTATTTAAGGGCAATAATAGCAAGCAGTCTCACCATTTCAATACTTCAAACATATTGGAAAGTTGGTAACTGACCTTGGCTTTTTTGGAAGTCAGTCATCTCTGCTGAAGATAATTCATCATCACTAGATGTCCCTTCCTGATGGTTGCAATTCCCAGAAAGCACCCTTGCTTGTCTTCTTTGTGTTCTATATTTTGCAACAAACCAAAAATAAATGAAAAGCAAATAGCTCTTGATGATAATAGATGATTTTTAAACAAAGAGAAGTAATTGTATCATTTGCTTAAAATGGCCAGAAATACATATTAGCACAATTAATATTTTTGACAGTTTTATAGCTTCATTAGTTTGAGTTGGTGGTTCTCCCTCTTTTTTCTCATAAGACTTTTTTCCTTTTTTTGAGACAGAGTCTTGCTCTGTCATCTGGGCTAACGTGCCATCTCAAACTCCTAAGCTCAAGCAATCCTCCTGCCTCAGCCTCCTGAGTAGCTGGGACTACAAGCGTGTGCCACAATGCCCAGCTAATTTTTTCTACTTTTAGTAGAGATGGGGTCTCACTCCTGCTTAGGGTGGTCTCCAATTCCTGAGCTCAAGTAGTCCTCCCGCCTTGGCCTTCCATAGTGCTAGGATTATAGGTGTGAGCCATGGTGCTCGGCCAAGACATTTCTACTTAGGACATTCCCATGGGCTGATCAGATTCTGAAGAGGGAGTAACAATATAATTAGGACCAGCTTCTAGTTACGAGCAATTCCTAACATGATAAAAATATCATTTTACCCATTTCTTTCAACTGATCTAAACATACCAGTGTGTCTTGAAAGCAGTCAAAGACTGCTTAACTAAATTTTGGTTTTATTATACATTATTTTTATAAGTTAATACTGTATGTCAGGTGTGGTTAATTATATCATATGGTTAATTATATTTAAGTAGTAAAAAGTACTTGCTCAATGATGCTTCAAGTCTTCACTTTATATACCTACCTTCGAGATTCAATCTCTTCTAAAATCCATTGAGTTTTTTCATCTACAGCCAAACTTCCATTTGTTGATGTCTCTTCTTTGCCTGTTAACAAATAAAATTGATTTTGTACTATAAATTCTCTAAAGAAAAAAGTGAAACATTTTGAAAATAAAAAAAAGTGAAACACTTTGAAAATAAAGGTAATAGCATGGATGTATATACATATTAATACATGTATACACACACAGTAAAGCAAACATTTTTTTGGCTGTTTCTATATAAAAGTTTGAAATCCCCCCCTGCAAAAGTACAAGGTAATATTGGGTTTGAGGAAATTAGATATGCAAGCCTTGTTCCAATATATATATGTTCCATATATAATATGTATATACATATTAATACATGTATATATAAACACACACACATAATATGCTTAAATTGCATATTTTCATCAGTTTTCTCCATAGCCAAATGCTAGAAATATTTGCATTACTAATACAGTAGTCCACAGTGGATATGTCCCAAGACCACCACGGAACGCCTGAAACCATGGATAGTACCAAGTCCTATATATATTATGTTTTTTCCTATATATACATTCCTATGATAAAGTTTAATCTATACATTAGGCACTGTATGAGAGTAGCAGTAATAAAAAAATTACAACAATATACTGTAATATAAGTTATATGAATGTGGTCTCCCTTTCAAAATATCTATTACCTTTTACCTTATTACCTATTTTTGGACCACTGTTGACCTCGGGTGACTGAAACCAGGGAAAGCAAAACTGTAGATTGGGGGGAACTGCTGTATTTTATTCATATTATTTATTTTAATATGTACTGACCCACTAAATGTCATGTGGTTGAAAGTCACTTTGCCTTTGCTTTTATTAGCTACTTGGTTATGGTCTCATCTCTTTTACTATGTTCTGAAAGCACTTTAATCAAAGGAAGACATCTCTGAAACTAGTGTGAAAATAAAAGGAAGCATCCAAATCTTATAATAGAGCTCTTATAATACATCTATACTGAAACTCACCAGAAGCAACCAGTGGAAGGGCTGTGAAAACAATAAAGTTAGATCTCTAACAGAATCTATAGATTTATGTGAACTTAAAACATACATTAAATGGCTTTGTAAATATTTTGTCTCAAATACTAAATAATTTTAAGTTATAATATTTATGTTTTGGTCTTACCCTTAATTTAAAACATTTTAAAACCCTACTCCTAAATGTTTTGGATTTTTGGAAGTGGGTGGGTAAAGGTTAGTGGGAAAATACACAAAAATCATTTCTTATACAGGAAAAAAATATTTTTATTCTTCGGATAATTTAGCTTAATGAATAATAAATCATATTGAATATGAAAAACACTAACATGATAACTGTTGTAAATACGTTGATTCGTGTTTTAATTCATCTTGCCTGCGTTTCATAAAGGTCATAGCTTGTTTTAAAAGGAGTGCATGCATGGATGATTCTATTTCTTGGATGTTGATAATCTGAAATACATATATAAGTAACATTTTGCAGATCATTGATAACGAAATATAAAAAATATGAAAAAGTAATATTTAGAATATATAAGAATATGTATTAATATATGCTCAATTCTCATAAAAAGAAACATTTCCAATACTATCACATCTCAATTATAAAACATTGTGAGCAACAGGCCTAGCTGCCAAAACTATTATCAAAAAACAGAAAATCAACTTACTGTCCTGGACCAGCAATAAATATCTCAGATAATGAAAGCAAATGGGATGGAGTCAGGAACATGGATAAGAATGATACATAAGAAGAAGGATTCTACTTTGTTTGAGATAAAAGAATAGGAGGAAATGAAAGGTTTTAACAGGCTGTTAAAACAGCTGTTTTAACAGGCTGAGAGGGCGGACAATAGGTGGACAAGTGTAGAATCTGGTGAAATCTGAAAAAATGGAGAATGCAAGAAATCTAACCAGAGACAGGTAAGAAAGTTGTGATATAGACATGAGAGACTAGTTAAAATTGGAACTCTAACTTTTTTTTGGCAACAATACCTTCCATCCCAATGATGTTCCAGCAGCTGTTGCTATGGATACATCAATGCATAAGCTGACAAGATTTTAAGAGTGTAATTCTTCAAGGATTAATGAAGAAAAATATTACATTATAATAAATACCCCAGAAAGTAACTATCTGGTGATATAAGAAGGTAGCCAATTTAAAACAATAGGGATCAGCATCCAAATGTTTAGAAACATTTTAATCATAAATAAAAAATAATATGGAAAGTAGGGTACAATTTATTTTTAAATAGTTAATATATTTTTTAAAAAAGGACAATTGAAGACCCCAATGTAAGAACTCAGTATGCATAAAACAAAAACAGAAAATGTCAGTGAAAGATTAATAAATCTGATAACACAAAAATTTCAAAACATCTGAATGTTAAAAAACAATCACAAACAAAATAAAAAACCAAAACAAACTGGTAAGTTTTTACATCAAGTAGAATAAAGCACTAAAAATTTTAAGCTATAAGGAGTTGTTCATCTATACTAAGAAAACTAGAAAAAACTAAAAAAGGAAAAAGAAAAAATCCCCACTAAGAATCAAAAAGATGATACGGCAAAGGAGACAAATAATTCACAAGAAGGAAAACTATACATAGCTAATAAAGTGTTCACTTGAGATCAAAATACAATATATAAAAACAGAACCCATTTTTTCTAGTAAACTAATAAAACTGGCACAATTGTTCTAGAGGACAATGTGGCAATATGTTTCATATGAGCCTTCAAAATACTTAGACTTAATTCATTTTCTTTGACTTATTTCATTTTCTAGGAATTTTTCTTTAATGGATGAAAGTCAAAAAAAATTTAAATACAAGATTTTATACAGTGTTACATATAATAGCAAAATAACTGCAAAAATCTGAATGTCCAATATTAAGGGAATGTTTAATATCATAGTATGTTAAAAATACATAGGAAAAATACTAGAGAAAGTATTTAATTATAAGATGTAGACTTTTTGTAATTATATGGTAAGGAGACGTTCTCCAAAAAAGAAAATGACATAAATATTTACATGGAAAATATATAGAAAAAAATTAGCTGGGCATCGTGGCACATGCCTATAGTTCCAGCTACTCGGGACACTGAGGCAGAAGGATCACTTGAGCCCAGAAGTTTGAGGTTGCTGTGAGCTAGGCTGACGCCACAGCACTCTAGCCAGGACAAGAGTGAGACTCTGTTTCAAAAACAACAAAAAATATTTACATGTACCTTTCCATTAAGGCAGTCAATTAAATTTTCCACATAAATTTTCATGCTTTTATAGAATTTATAATTTAGAGCTTGATTTGATGAACTCTCTAGATGCTGGATCGTACTCTTTGACTTCTTGACATCTTGCATGTATTTTTCATATTCCCTCAGATGCGAGTGGTGAGTGTCCTGTAGTAATGTTAATCTAAATAAATAAAATAAAAATTGCTTTATTTTTCAAACTTTTTCCCCTAAAGTAGCAGTCTAATGCAAATGTTTTCAAAGACCACCAAGGAAACTGACACTCAGATAAACCTGTGTTTATTAGACTTGCTAAGCAAGGAGACTATCACAACAAAAAAGTCTCAAAGGAGAAAAGGAGGAAAGGGCATGTACAGGCTTTTAAGAGCTGGAGCTAGTTTTAGAGAAGTTAATGAGTATAATTTTAGGTCAGGATTGAGCAGAATTTATAAAGGAGGTAGAACAATCAATGCTCTTATATTTGAAATACAGGAGTCCATGTGGAGGTACTGTTAAATCAATTTGTGGTCATTCTTGGAACACAGGTATCTGAATGAGCTGATATTAAAATCACTTGAGCATGTTATGGTTTAGTATAATTTATCTATTTTGTAATTCATAATGCCTTCTGTTTTATTTGTCATTAGAATTTCATGTTCCTTGAGGTATTTCCATTTTGTTGCTACTCTGTTGTATTTCCCTGTATGCTGTTTATTAAAGACACTCACTTTCTTTTAGGTCTTGTGAATATCACATGTATCAGCTCATGTTATGTGAAAAAACTGTCAAATTTAATGACTGCTTAGCTTTTAAAATTCAGGTATCCTTCATATATACATACCAATGGAGGAATAGGAAACTCCCATTGTATCTTAAAAAAAAATCTGGAATGTGTTTTCTAATATTTGACTCTGCGAATGCTTTGTAATTAGAGAATTAACTACAAATGAAATAACACACTCATAGTATGTAAACTAGACTTATATTTTTAATTTACCTCCTTGGCTAAACTGCTCCATAATTGAAACTGTTTAGCATTTGCTTAGGCTAAGTATCCTCTCTCCATATTTTCTGCATTTGTCTTTCAAAGTCTTACCTTGCTTTATGTAAAGAACAGTGACAGTTAAAAAAATAAATCAAGATAATAATGTATAGTAGGCATTATTAAAATGTTTTAATTAAGTAGAATATTATTGCCTATAGCAGTAAAGTTGTAAGAACATATTATGTGGAAAAAGCTAGGTACAGAACAGGGTATATAGTGTGTTTCTTTTTTTGTATAAAAATGGGGCAATATGGGCCAGGCGAGGTGGCTCACGCCTGTAATCCTAGCACTCTGGGAGGCCGAGGCGGGCGGATTGCTCAAGGTCAGGAGTTCAAAACCAGCCTGAGCGAGACCCCGTCTCTATCATAAAAATAGAAAGAAATTAATTGGCCAACTAATATATATAATATAAAAATCAGCCGGGCATGGTGGCTCGTGCCTGTAGTCCCAGCTACTCGGGAGGCTGAGGCAGGAGGATCGCTTGAGCCCAGGAGTTTGAGGTTGCTGTGAGCTAGGCTGACGCCACGGCACTCACTCTAGCCTAGGCAAGAAAGCGAGACTCTGTCTCAAAAAAAAAAAAAAAAGGGGGGGGGGCAATATGTGAATACATATGTGCTTGTATAGATATACATGTAGACCACTTCTGGAAGTAAATATAGAAACTGGTAGCAATGGTTTCTTCAAGGGAAAGTAACTTCCTTTTTCCTGTATAACCTTCAGTTGATTTTTTTTTTAACCATAAAAGTGTATTTTCTTCTTAAAAGAAACTAGTTAATAAAAAACAAAATATGATAAAGTTACCAGTTACTCAAATAAAATAAAATACTAATCTAAGTCAGTGATCTGCTACCTTTTTCTATTCTATTACTCATGCAAGATAATTCTCTTAAATAAAATCTTGTTAAGAACAACCTTGTAGATTCTGGGTTATATGCAATTTTAGATGCAATAGCTGTAATTTTAGCTGTCTTCTTCTAACTAAGGAAAGCATATCAGAATGTCAGTAAATGATAAAGTTATTACAGAAATGACCTTGAATCTGTTAAAGTAATCTCGCCATTTAACATCACTATTGGAAAACACTGATCTAGAACAGGGTTGCCCCTCTCTCTCCCGACCCTCAACACATAAACACACTTTCACTCTGTCTTTCTTTCTTTTTTTTTTTTTTTAGACAGAGTCTCACTTTATTGCCCAGGCTACAGTGTGTGCCATAGCATCAGCCTAGCTCACAGCAACCTCAAACTCCTGGGCTCAAGCAATCCTGCTGCCTCAGCCTCCCGAGTAGCCAGGACTACAGGCATGTGCCACATGCCCGGCTAATTTTTTCTATATATATTAGTTGGCCAATTAATTTCGTTCTATTTATAGTAGAGACGGGGTCTCGCTCTTGCTCAGACTGGTTTCGAACTCCTGACCTTGAACAATCTGCCCACCTCGGCCTCCCAGAGTGCTAGGATTGCAGGTGTGAGCCACCGCGCCTGGCCTCACTCTGTCTTTCTGCCATGTGAGGACACAGCGAGATGATGTCCATCTGCGAGCCAGGAAGACAGCCCTCACAGAATCCAATCATGCTAGAATCCTGATCTCAGACTTCCCAGCCTTTAGAACTATGAGAAATAAAGTTTGTTGTTTAAGCCAAAAAAAAAAAAAACCCCAAAAATTAAAAAAAGAAAGAAAAGGAAAAATAGAGAGAACAGCAGTTGGCAAAACTTTTTTTTTTTGTATAAGGCTGGACGGTGAGTATTTCGGGCTTTAAGGACTAGATGATTGCTGATGCAACTACTCAGTTCTGTGTTGTAGCATGAAAACAGCCATAGACAAGATGTAAACATCAAAACCATGGCTGTGGTCCAGTGAAAATTTATTTACCAAAACAGAGTGTGGGCTGGTTGTTTGCTAACCCTCTAGAATACAGAGATAACTCAGTATCTAAAAACTAGTACATTGAAAGATTTTCAAATATTTAATTCGCTACACAATGTTACAAAATGTCCTTTCTATGTCAAATTCTCATTTAAATGGCCAATATATTTTAGTTTCAGTGTGATTAAGAAATGAAGCTACTTTAAAGTTGATTCATAGAAAAGATAATGGGGAAAAATTTGAACCTAATTTCAGGTAATAAAAAAATATATCTTGAAAAGCAATAAAAATGTTCTTTAAAAATACCTGCTTTGGCAGGAGAATCAAACTCTCTCCTTGTATCAAACTGTTACAAGGACTAATAAACTTTTACCATCATACTTGTTTTCTCACACATCTAAAGATACACACTAGATCCTGAGTAGTAAAATTACAAAATACAAATATTTATTTATTTATTTATTTATTTGAGACAGAGTCTCACTTTGCTGTCCAGGCTAGAGTGAGTGCCATGGCATCAGCCTCACTCACAGCAACCTCAATCTCCTGGGCTCAAGTGATCCTACTGCCTCAGCCTCCCGAGTAACTGGGACTACAGGCATGCACCACCATGCCTGGTTAATTTTTTGTGTATATATTTTTAGTTGGTCAATTAATTTCTTTCTATTTTTAGTAGAGACGGGGTCTCGCTCTTGTTCAGGTTTTGAACTTCTGATCTCGAGCAATCTGCCCGCCTCGGCCTCCCAGAGTGCTAGAATTGCAAGTGTGTGCCACCATGCCTGGCTCAAAATACAAATATTTAAAACAAAACTACTAATGATGAGGTTTGACTTAGTTTTAGCAAAAATACCACTTATATTAAAATTAATACTAACTATATAAGAGATAAGTATTTAATATTAATATTGGTAGAACAAAAGATAGCTGTGCTTTTGAAGAGCAATGTGTACCAAGAGCTATAATAATATGACCTCTGCCTGGAAATTTACCTTAAGAAAAAAAACTGCAACAAATTAAAAGATGTTCATTATCTGTACCATTATCTATAATAGAGAAAATTTAGAAATCAAAATATCCAATAGCGAAACACTTAATTATAACAACTATATGAACAAACATGATAGTTTTTATAATGTAGAAAAATGCTTATAATTATATTAAGTAAAAGAAGTAGAATTTTATATTTACTGATTTTAACCATGTAATACACATCTGTTATAAAAACTAAAAGACATACAATAGTCCCCTCTTATCCACAGATATGTTCCAAGATTCCCAGTGAATGCCTAAAACTGTGAATAGTAACATATCCTATATATACTCTTTTTCCTTTGCATACATACCTATGATAAAGTTTAATTTATAAATTAGGCATAGTACTCTTGCACTTTGGGGCCGTTATTACATAAAATAAGGGTTATCTGAACACAAGCACTGAGATACTGCCACAGTCAATCTAATAATCAAGAAGGCTACCAAGTGACTAAAAACTAGTACATTGAAACTAGTACACTGGGTAGCCTAGAGCGTGGAGATGTTGGTCAAATGGGTGATTCCCGTCTCGGTGGGATGGAGAGGGACATCTAGAGACTTTACTACACTACTCAGAAAAGTGTGCAATTTCAAACAGATGACTTATTTATTTTCGGAGTTTTCCACTTAATATGTTTGGACCACAATATGACCATGGGTAACTGAAACTGGTGAAAGTGTGGATAAGGGAGGACAACTGTATACAAAAATAAAATCAGTTATATTATAAAATATATATATATATACACACATATATATCTGTTTAAGATTAACATTTAATAATTTAAAAGAATATAGTGCTATTTTTCACTATTAAATGCCTAGGGCAAATATAAATTTCAAAAGGAATATTACTCACCTAGTATTTAATTGCTTCTTAATAATTTCTAAATTGACTGGAGAGAATGAAATGGAAGTATCAAACTTCTTCATTATTTGAGATCCATGGCTGTGAGAAATACCTATGTCTCTTTCCTAAAAATAATACGAAAGTTGATTTTTTTAAAAAACATTTCATTAACCTTACAAATGTTAAGAGCATGAAAGGAGACTGGATGATCCAAGGTCCCTGAAACCCAAAAAATTCTGTTTTTATAATTTTTCATAGTAACAATGAAATGCTTTTAGAATCCTCAGTTTTAAAATTTAGAAATTTAAATTCACATGTAAGAGGCAAATATTAATAATTGGATTTTTCAAAAAAATTTAGTTCTTGAGGTTTTCAAAGCCAATTTTATTTATAGTCTAAGGTACTCTCAGAAAGAGTACCTCATGCAGTTTTTGAAGAAGCAACAGTTCTCGGTAAATATTACCTTGTGTGGTAGACGCAGCTGTCTGGCTAACCTAACAGCTGTTCCCACGATAGAAATAGCTATTTAACTCCAACTCCATCCTAGTCAATGAAGAGTAAATGGAAGTCTGCAGGAGGGTTTCTTAGTAAAACTTTTGCCTTTCTTTAAGCCACTGTTATTTGGGTTTTGTAACTTGTAGAGAAATGCATTACCAACTGATACATCTTGTAACATGGTAGTATATTTCACATTAGTGTCCTCGGACTAACAGCTCAGCAATTCCACTTTCAGCTTGGAACTTTCAAAAGATCCGAAAGAACCTCTATTTTAGACAAGGACATATGAAGTAATGGACCAGATATTTAGCCAAGTCATTGGCTTAATTATTCTTTATATATTTTCTATGAAGCATCATTTCTCATTTCAGTTTTCACCAACTCTCCCATCCAGTTCCAATCATATCTACAAATTCTCAGACACTCCAGATATTTTCAGTCTCAAATTCCTTACATCATAACTATTTTCCAATGACCCATTCAAATACCACCACTTCTGTATGGGCTTTTCCAAACCTCCCTTTCTTTTCCTTACCCTTCCTTCTATAGAACTGACCACCCACTTGCTCCTTTGTGCTATCTCAGGACCCTGCACAGAGTTCTGTCCATAAAACTTGTAGAATTTCACAATAATTATTTTGTAATCTCCTCCTGCAAAGATTGTACATCATTGTAAGTGGCTGTAATAGCCTAATGGTGACTCTGTAAAAGACATCTTCCTATTCATATAAATATTATCTTATATGGCAAAAGATGTATTTAAGTTAAAGAATTTGACTGGAGAAGCTTATCTTAGATCATCCAGCTGGGGCTTATGTGCAGATGGAACAGAGAGAAACATGGCCATAATAAGCCAAGGCATGCCAACAACCACCAGAGGCAGGAAGAGTCAAGAGATGGATTCTTTCCTAAAGTTTCTGGAAGGAATGTAGCCCTACTGACATTTTGTTTTTGGACTTCTAGTCTCCAGGAGTTTAAAAAAATTCTGTTGTTTTAAGCCACCAAGTTTATGGTAATTTGTTTTAGCAGCCACAGGAAACTAATACAGTGGCATATGGTAGACTGCCAGTAAAGGAATCAGTAAATACACTTGCATTGGCAATAAAAAAGCAAATCAAGTATGCATGGGATTCTATTTTTGCTAAGTAAACTCGTACCTAAAGCTGGAAAGACTGTGGTGAAACATTCCCATGATATTGGTGGTATTACAAATTGAGCTAAGTTTTCTTTAGAAGGCAACAGAGAAATGTACTAAGTGCCATAAAAAAAGTTTATCTTCTTTGATTAGTAATATCACTCTCGGCAATTACTACAAGTCCAAAAACACACATCTAAAAAAAGAAAGAAAAGGAAGGAAAGAAGGAAAAAAATATCTGAATATTCACTGATTCTTATTTATTAAGAGAAAAAATTCAGATTGCAAATAACCTAAAATGTTCAAAATTAAGAATGGTTAAGAAAATTATGATTCACTGACTCCAACAAATATTATGCAGCTATTACAATTCATTAATATTGTAACTATGTAGAAACAAGAAAAGATATTTATAACATGCCAAGCAAAGAAATCAGAATTCAAAATTGTATGCATACTGTGGTTCCCAAACTGTGTGCAAAGACATCCTAGCAAAGGGGTGTGGTGAGCTATTTTAAGTTTTTTAGGGAAACAGTACAATACTCAATTATCTCTTGGATTACTAGCTCTTAGTAGGATGTGGTATATACCTTTTGATAAAGTCATATTTGTAGAGCTGGGTTTTGGGAAGACAGAACGATTAAAACAAACAACTACTGTGTGACGATCAATATAGAAATGAGTGTGTCCAATCTGACTCCAAGGTCTGAGAAGTCATGCAGTGCCCAACAGGTACACACATCCCATTAGTAATAATTTTGGTTATTTAAAAATAAAAAGATCGGCCAGGCGCGGTGGCTCACGCCTGTAATCCTAGCACTCTGGGTGGCCAAGGCGGGCGGATTGTTTGAGCTCAGGAGTTCGAGACCAGTAAGAGCGAGACCCTGTCTCTACTAAAAAAAAGTAGAAAGAAATTAGCTGGACAATTAGAATATATATACATGTAATATATATATATATGTATATACACACACACACATATATAAAATTAGCTGGGCATGGTGGCACGTGCCTGTAGTCCCAGCTACTTGGGAGGCTGAGGCAGGAGGATGGCTTGAGCTCAGGAGTTTGAGGTTGCTGTGAGCTAGGCTGACGCCACGGCACTTTAGCCTGGGCAACAGTGAGACTCTGTCTCATAAATAAATAAATAAACAAATAAATGAATGAATGATCATATGTGATCCCTGATCCTGACTGGGCCATAGACCATAAACAGAAAAATATTTTTTCTTCAATTTATCTGTATTATTTTTTCCAAATGGCTATTAAGTTATTAAATGTTATTAATTTAAGATTTAAGTCTTACTATGTCTTTGTACTTAACTACTTAATAAACAAATTGTTTGGTGCTTCTTTCAGCTTAGCAGTAACATGATAAAATTACTGAGTCACTAAGGTCACATGAATGAGAAAGTTTGGGAGCTTCTAATGTACACTATGATTGCAAAGAGGCTAAAAAAAAAAAGAAAGCACATCAAATACAAAGATATTATGCAAACTTGTGTAGTTAAAGACTACACAATATTATGGCACATTTTTTTTCCCAAAATATTCTTTTAATGCTGTTTTTACTAAAAATGGTAGAAGAAAATCTAAACTTGTTATAGTCATAAAAACAGTCCTCTAAATCATTTCTCTTGTCAGATACTCCAAAATTACAACCACAGGCCTACTTTTACTTAGTTTTTTTTTTTGAGACAGAGTCCCACTCTGTTGCCCAGGCTAGAGTGCCGTGGCATCAGCATAGCTCACAGCAACCTCAAACTCCTGGGCTCAAGCAATCCTCCTGCCTTAGCCTCCCGAGTAGCTGGGACTACAGGTATATGCCACCATGCCCGGCTAATTTTTTCTGTATGTTTTTAGTTGTCCCACTAATTTCTTTCTATTTTTTAGTAGAGATAGGGTCTTGCTATTGCTCAGGCTGGTCTCAGCCTCCCACAATGCTAGGATTACAAGCGTGAGCCACCGTGCCCGGCCCAGTTTTTAGTTTTGATAACATGGAAATCTTATAATATTTTCTTACTTAAAAAACAAATCATCTCTCAGAGCATTCCTTTTTTTTTTGAGACAAGGTCTCACTCTGTTGCCCAGGATGGAGTACAGTGGCTTGATCATAGTTTACTGCAATCCTGAACTCCTGGGCTCGGGCGTCCTTTTGCCTTAACCTCCTAAGTAGCTAGGCCTATCAGGCATGTGCCACCACACTCAGGTAATTTTTAAATTTTTTGTAGAGATGGGGTCTTGCTATGTTGCCCAGGCTGGTCTTGAACTCCTGGGTTCAAGTGATCCTCCCACCTAGGCCTCCCAAAGTGCTGGGATTATAGACATGAGCAACTGTGCCTGGGCTTCTTCGAGCATTCTTATTAAAATAATTCAAATATAAAACCTAATATCTCTGTAGTATTATACAGCACTTTGACTTACTATGATTTTAAGCCTTATATCAACCTATTCACACATGTAACATTATTATCATCCCCATTTTATTGATGAGAAAACTGAGAGAGAAATTAAATGATTTGCTCAAAGTTGTAGAAATGTTTATTGAGCACTCATAACAATAGCAACTGCTGGATATACCACTGAACAAAATAGTAATCTTGACTTCATGAAGCTTATATTCTAGCAGCAGACCCAGAACTCATATCCAGGACTTTTAACCCCAAGTACAGTACACTTTTTTGTTTGTTTTAAACCTCACTATTTGTTTAAATTTTACTCTTAAATACCTGTTTTGTATAATATAAAACTGTTAATATAAAATTAAAGGTAAAAAAATATGGTGTCCTTAAGTGGAAGGTGTTTATAATCCAGTGAAAAAAGAACATAACATGCGTGGCATAGTGAGCTGAATGGTGGCCTACCAAAAGATACACCCATGACTTAACCCTGGGGCTGTGTGGATATGACCTTATTTGGAGAAAGAGTCTTTGTGGTTGTTATTAAGGATCTTAAAATGAGATCATCCTGAATTACTCGAGCGGGCCCCAAATCCAATGACACATGTCCTTATGAGAAACATCATACACAATAGAGACACAGAGAAGAAGGCCATGTGAAGACAGAGGTAGAGACAGGAATTATGCAGTCACAAACCAAGGAATACCTGGAGCGACCAGAAGTTGGAAAAAGCAAGGAAAAATTCTCCCCTGGGGCCTTTGGAGGAAGTAAAGCCCTGTCAACACCTTTGTTTTCAGATTTCTGGCCTCCACACTGTGACAGAATAAATGTCTGTTGTTTTAAGTCACCAGGTTTGTGGTTAATATGTTACAGCAGCTATAGGAATCTAATACATATGGTATAAAAAATTATTACCTCTATGATTTTAACTGCTTTCTTCATTTGTTGATGTTCCCAAATATCTTGATTTTCATCTTCCTGACTTTCTTCACTTGTTTCATTTCTGCTTGCTAAGGGGAAAAAAAGCTCACATATAAACATTCAATGTTTTTCCATTCCCATTGTAGCAGCCAACATTTTGGGGGGGCTTATTATATGCAGGCTTACCACCACTCTACATGTTATCTTTTCTTCACAATAATTTTGGGAAGAAGGCACTATTATTGCCTTCATTTCATAAATGAGGAAACTCAAACACTGGGAGTTTAAAAACTTGAGGACTATGTTGAAGCTGTAAGTTGAACACAGATCTGACTCCAGAACCTGTACTCTTATCACCAAACAAAATACTATTGTTCCACATACATAAAAAACTAAGAAAGAATGAAATGTTTGGTTTTCTTTATTAAAGATCTCTCAATTTCGACCTGAGATTCGAAAAACTTAAAAATAATTTCTCAATTATAAGGAAGCAAAGTCTCATTCTAAAAAAAAAAATTATTTCAAGTAACAAAAACCTTAGCAAATGTATATACCAAAATGAGAAATGTGTAAATAGTCCTTTGAGACTAGGATTATTGGTAGAGGAAATATTTTATTACAACAGAAGGATTTTAATATATCACACCTAAAATCTCTACAGATGCTTCATTGTTAAATAAAAATTCTTCATAAAGATGACAATGATAGTTTTCAGTATTTCAAAAATAAGATACTGCATGACTTTTGTTAACCCATCAAAAAAGATCAAGTGGGGGTCAGGCATGAGTAAACATTGTTACACATACCTTTTGATAACAACATTTTGATCCAGATACATCTTTTAAAAGTCATGATGCCATAAACCAAACTGATACTAAATAAAAGCCAAAATCAACAATCTTTACAATATGAGATACCACATTATATTTTTATGGCAATTTTATCACATGATGTTATATTCTAATGAAAATGCCTTAATCTTCATATACTGGTAAATAAGTTAAATACATACTTGTTTCTTCAGCCATTCTTTGCCTAAGTGTTTGAGGCTTTGGGGCAAATGGTATCCTCTTTTCATGGTCATCAGGCTCACTCTCAGGATCGTCATCACTGTTTCTCTCCGTACCAGAGACGGTGACGGGATGTTTTACATCCAAAGAAATATAGTCACCTTGGGCCCTGGCCAATTCACGTTTTCTGCGGGCTGCCTGAATAAAAGCTGCATCAGGGATCTTAACTGAAAGTAACAAAGAGGACACTGAAAACCAAAGACCAACAGAAATAAATATTCCTCACATTTAAACAAAGAAAAATGGCAATATTTTCCTAAATTTTTCACTATTTTGATAAATGCATGTGATTTTGATGGCTCAGAATTTAATCAGTAAAGGAAGAAAACTAATTTAATAGAGATTAAATACAATTTAGAGATATATATGAAATTTACAAGTACTAGAAAATATACTTAAATGACTCCGTTTTATCTTTTAATTTTTTTTATTTATCAAGTGCTACTCTTTGTTGAGGGCTTAGATACTTCTCACTTCCAGAGGCTCTGAGATTGTCAGGTGGGGATGTGGATAGGACTGAGCATGAGTTCCTCAGTACTGCAGACTGAGTACTGCAGAAGTTAAGAGGATCAATGACATTCCAGTCTGACTTAGCAAGTAAGAGAGGTACTCTACTATGATGCGCCCCTCCCCTGTGGGCACCCAGGAATAGAGGGAGTGAGAAATAGACTACAACTGGTGTGAAGCCAAGTCAGCTTCTGACATTCTGTGGCAAGTCCCACATGAATAAACCGAGAAGTTAAAAAGTGTAAAGGAAATAGGCAGGTTCATTTACCAGGTGAAAAACATTTGAATGGCCACACCACTTAATAGAGGCTTATTTTTTCTTCATTTTATATAGTAAAAATCTCATTAATTTAAATGCTTCCAATTCAAAACAAGTTTCTTCATGTAGGATCTAAGTATTTCTTTAAAAAATACTACCGTAAACAAATGGCAAGAGAAACTTTCACTATTTCAAGCACTTCAAATTATTAAAGAGACATCAAGCCACTGAGACTGAAGTAAATTTTCTAACCTTTCCCACAAATTGGTCCAAATTCTTTGCGAAATAAATAGAAAACATGCCATATGCCTGGAGATGCACAAATGCTCCAGTGTTTGAAAGAAATGAACGTAAAAGGAAACATATTTTAGAAATCACAGACCAATATGTTTGGCATCAGTCCTAGGGAAAATTTAAAAGTGCCTGAGTTAATGATGAGTAATAAATATTCATCAAGTAATATAAAATCAAGTGATTTTTATTTTTTTTTGTTTGAGAGGGAGTCTCCCTCTGTTGCCTGGGCTAGAGTGCCACGGTGTCACCATAGCTCACAGCTACCTCAAACCTCAAAAGCTCAAGCAATCCTACTGCCTCAGCTTCCTGAGTAGCTGAGACTACAAGCACGTGCCACCATGCCCGGCTAATTTTTATATATCTATATTTTTAGTTGTCCAGCTAATTTCTTTCTATTATTTTAGTAGAGATGGGGGTCTCACTCTTGCTCAAGCTGGTCTCGAACTTCTGATCTCAAACTATCCTCCCGCCTCGGCCTCGGCCTCCCAGAGTGCTAGGATTACAGGCATGAGCCACCACACCCAGCTGTGATTTACTTTTTTCTGACAAGTATTTATTTTTAAACTATCAGGGAAATGATAAAGGTCAGGTGTCTCTTCATCCTCCCAAAGCATTTAACAGTTGGAGTCTTTCCTTGTAGCTAATGTTAAAATATGTGGGGTAAATCATAGAGTTCACTGGATTCTTAATTGGTTAAATACTAACAAACATGTTGACTATGAGGCTAAGTAAGGACCTGCCACAGAAGTCTATACTTTATCTTGTCTGGTTTAATGATTTTATTGTGATATGAATGAAGGCAAGATGACATGTCTTTAAAGCTGGGGGGTACAGTCAATATAAGCTAAAGCAGAATTAGGATTCAAAACTATCACAGCAGGTTACATTTACAACCCTGGATAGATACTAGAATCACCTGAGAAGCTCGATAAGCTACTGATACCCAGGCCCCCATACCAGTGATTCAGTATCAGTTGATCTGAGGTAGAGCTGAACAGCAGTATCTTTTTTATAGTCCCTTAGAGAATTTCAATGTGCAAAATTAAGATGATACATTTAGGGTCAAATATGCAAGTGTATGACTATGAAAACTGAAATACTTTTATGGAAGCAATTCACCTGCAAATGACTTAATAGGATTTAATTAATAAGTCACAAACAGTGGGGCTCACTAGTGAGACACTAGTGCAATATAAAACTAATGCTCTCTCAAACTATAATAAAGAAGTAAAAGTTCAAGGAAGAGTAGAGTATTTTTGTCCTGTTTCTCCATATTCACCACCTAGCCCAAGGGTTCCTGTTAGGCAGAGATTAAATCTGTAGGTGGCAGACACAGGCCAGGAAGGTGCTTCCTAGGGATAGAGAAGGGGTGGGGAAGGGACTGTAGGAAATGCAGCTAACAACCACAAATAGCAGTAACTTGAGGTTTTGCACCTGTGGAGATGCAAGTTTGTAATAAGAACACCTGTCAATAGTGTATATCAATCATCTGGTAACATCCCACATCTCCTGTAAGCGCTCACCCAGACCACGCCAATAAAAGGAAAACACCTGGGAGTCTTCAACATCTTTCTCCACGTAGCCTTTCTGCATAAAAGCTGTTTGTGTGGAATTGCTTCCTGTCTGTGGTCACTCCGTTGTATGGGCCCTGCTTGTGAATTTTCCAAGCAAGAAGCCAAAGAACCAGAACAACAGTGCACCAAGAGGCAGAACTAACAGTTTCCACACAGCAGATGCTGGGCAGACATGGGATGAATTGACAGAGTTAGCATATTGTTTTACCATAGAAACATGATGTTTCTACAGATTTATAACTCAATTTTTCACATACATCATCCCATTTGATACACAATCATCTAAGAAGGAGAGATCTACTATCATCTTCCATTGGTAATAAGGAGTCTCTGCCACCATTGGCTCCTTTTAATAGTTCTAACATCTGAACACAATATAAATGCACTCTCCTTCCACACACCAGTCCTTAAAATTATCAAATTCCTCTATCTTTTCTTCTCTAATCAACATGTCCTTTGCACTTTTAAGTGTTCCTCACAGGGCAAGTTTACAACTTTTAATCAGTGTTTCTCAATGGGGTATTTGGGTCAGGGGCAGTTCTTCAGTGTGCCGAACTGTCCTGCGGTGGGCAAGGCATTTATCATCCCTCCCGTGCAGGCACTATGTGCCAGCAACACCTTAATCATTACGATCATTAAAAACTATCCCACACATTTCCAAACACTGCCCTCTCCCCTTTGGTAGGCAGTGCTGCTAACACCGTTCTATCTAGAATCTAGACAGGGCTTTAATTGTTTACCAGGCTTCAATTCTTAGTATTTGCTTTATCATTCAGTACTCCTGTACCTTGTGAATGCAGATAAGGATGGATGGATACATAAATAAATACAAGGCTACAGAGCTACTGTGGTTGTTGTTATTTAACGGACCAATACAGAAGCACTTATTACTATATTAATCTTTTAAAAAGTATTTTAACAATTTTTTCAATATAATTTGCTTTCTTTTATAAAGCTAAATATTTGGCTTTATTAATTTACTCAGATTTTGCCTTAGGCTTCACTACACTGAGAAAGGAGTCTACAGTACAAAACAAGTTATAAATCCCTCCAAAAGGCAAGAAAAATGTTTCTGACTTTGCAGGCCATAAGGTTTCTGTTGAAACTTAACTCTGCCACACAGTGCAAAAACAGCCACAAATAGTAAGTAACTGAAAGAGTGTGACTATTTTAATAAAATGTTATTTACAAAGACGGGTAGTAGGCCAGATTTGCCAACCTCTGAATTAGACTGGTGGTGCTTTGCCAGCATCGTTCTAAAACAGAACAACGTATTTGGAAAAAATTTTCAGTAGTCCCCTAAGTCCTGTATAATCTGAATCCAACGTGTCCCTCCTGTTTTGTTTCTTTTTCTTAAACTCCCAATCAAACAGAACTATTTTCAGCCAAACAGAACTATTTTAAGTTCTCTACGCATATTATATATCTTCTCTAGAGTTCTGGATATACTACACCTTACACCTAAAACATCCTCACTGACCAATCCTTACCTTAGGTTTCAGTGTGAATAACTCAGTATAGCACCGCAATTAAGAACATAGGTTATGGAGCAGATTGCCTGGGTTTGAGTCCTAGCTCTGCCTCTTAAAAGCTATCTGACCTTGGCCATGTTACATACTGAAAGTGAGCAGTAAATTTTGGCACTTTGACAATCATTATTAATGACCAACTTACCCCATGCTTCACTAGAGTTTGCTGTGTTATCAACAATAAGGATCACTAGTACAGAAAATACAATGTTTAACCAAATTACAAAAATTACCAACCTGTTGATGAAAATTCTTTTTCTTCTCGAGAGCTAGAGCTATCAGAAGATGAACTCTGATCATCCTTACTTTCTGAGGAGTGATGTGTTTCATCCTCTTCATCTGTTGAAAGATCAACTGTTCTGGATTCTAACAGGACATTTTTTTTTTAACAAAAGAAAGAAAACAGTGGAATCAATAATTAAAATTCTGAACAACACATAGTATATCTATGATATTTTAATCCTACTCCACATATTTAAAATATACAGATCTTTCTCCAACTTACAGTCTTTCTGAAACTGGATGGTTTAATACAAGTATAAAGATTTACTCTATTTGTAATTATCTACATGTTTAATAAAGTATTTCCAGAAGGAAAAGTGAAGTAAAAACTGAAATTCTGGAAAACCTGTATCCTCCACTGTGAACTGCACAGTTTTCTAATATTTAAAAACTGAGATCAGTGCTAATATTAAGTGATTTTTTTGATACTGTATAATAAAATGCCCAAATATTTGAAAGATCAGCAAACCTAGCAAATACTTTCCCAATAATCAATGCACGATATTATCAATCACTCATGAGTAAAAGATTCAACGTGCCAAACAGACCAATGAATTTTAATGTAACAGAGAACCAAAAATTTACTGATACAGTTTAAGATGCCATGTTGCAACTAACCTTTAAGAAACTATTACTTGTTAAGTTTTGTTGTAATATTAAAGCACAACACCCTCAATAATCTAAAAAGGCTGTTGGGTACTCCTCTTAGCCATATATTTGTGAAAGACTGTCTTTTCTTCAAATACTTCAATCAAAACAACAGAGCACAACAGATTGCATGCAGAAGCAGCTTCGAGAGAATTCGGCTGTTTTCTGTTTATTCAGACATTAAAAAGACGTGCAAATTGAGAACAATGCCACTCTTCTGTTTTCTGGAAAATATTTTTCACAAAAATGTTACTTATCCTTAAATGTAATTTTTAAGAATGAGTTAATTTTAATTTCTAGTATGGTAAGTACTGACAGATACAACCTACAGAAACATAAGCTCTTTGGGATCCTTACTCATTTTTAAGAGTATGAAGGGGATCCAAATACCAAAGTTTGAGAACACAGCCCTAGAAGGCAAGAGAAAAGGCAACTCCAGGCCTAAATTCTCCTTACTAAAGTTTAAAAATATGACTGACATATTTTAGGGTACAAAAACAAATATAAAAGGTCATACATAACAAAGACCAAGAAACCACTAAGATCATGAACCTGGAGGATGTTAAGTGAACATATGTTAAGTGAAATAAGGCCAGGCACAGAAAGACAAACACTGCATGATCTCACTTACGCTTGGAATCTAAAAAAGTGTAAATCACAGAAGCAGAGAGCATAGTGGTAGTTGCCAGGGGCTAGAGTTGAGGGTGGTGGTGGTGGTTGGGGAGATGTTGGTCAAAGGACACAAATTTTCAGTTACCAGGAATAAATTCAAGAGATCTACTCTACAATGACTACAGTTAATAACAATGTACTTTATACTTGAAAATCTACTAAGTAACTTTTCATGTTCTTACCACAAAAACTGAGACGACATTAAATTAGTTCTATTTAGCTCCTGTACACATTTCACACATCATGTTGTACACTATAGGTACACAAAATTTTTGTCAATTAAAAAATTTTAAAAATCATTGAAATTACTTTAATAGGAATAAAAATAGTGGATCTCAAAACTAATCCACAACCGTATTCCTTATTAAGCTACAACTGAAACGCACAACAGCACATTTCGGTTAACAACTGCGCTGTTTGAAACGTTTATGTAAGAACTTAAAGGTACTTCAAAATGACTACATTGTATTTAAAGCCATTACCGGTATGATCTACAGCCTCATCAATCTATCATGCTACTTAATGTTGTATAGATTATCAGTATTATTGGGTTTTGCACATAATTGGTGGGAAAAGAAAAACAAAAGAAAATTTTCTAAAACCAGTCACTTAGAGTCTTTTAATGTATTAGTCTGGTTAAGTGTTTTCTGGAAAAATAAACTGGGTGAATTTCCAAAAGCTACATATAACTTTTGCCTACCTACTAGCATTAGGAATTACTGAACACTTTTGTGACGATTTAGGTTCTTCATAAACATCAATCACTGTCCTACAGCTATAGTTGGTGGCGTCATCTGATGGTGGAAACAAAAAGCAGCCACCAAACTGTGTAGGACTCCCCTGACTCCCCCAAGGCGCCCAGTATGTAGATGCAGGCAGCGGGCGAGCGCTGGCTGTCGGTCAGCAGCGGGTGACAGGAACCACCAGAGAGGAACCCAGGGACCTCGCAGCCCCTTCCCGCCCCCCGCGTCACTTCGGGCGCCCACCCCGCCTCCCCGCGTCACCTTGGACGCCCGCGCCCTCCGCGCGGGAAGCCGCTCCCGGGGCGCGCCGGGAAGTCGCCCACACCCGGCCCCGGCCCCGAGCGCCCCGGACTCGGTGGGGCTGTCCCGCCGCCTGCGCGCGGCCTCCTCCAGAGGGCGGCCCTTCCTCCGCAGGGCTGGAGGTCTCCTGTTCCTTCCGTGTTCCGGCCTCAGCAGACGGCTCCTCGGCGCCGTCGCTGTCGCTAGAATCGGCCGGGCGCTGCCGAAAAGTCCTTTTCGGCCTGTGAGCCATAGCCGAGGCCCGAGCGCCGCGTGAACCCTCGCCTCCCGCGCACGCCACCCCGGGGCCTTAGTGACCACCCCGGCGCGCGCGCCCGCCTCGCCGTGCCGCCGGGTGCGCGCGCCCGCTCTGCGCGCCGTCGACGCCCGATTGGCCCGGCGCATGCGTACTTTGACTGCCTGGATCTGGTCGGCGGAGTCCTCTTCTCAGGGCCCAAGTCAGGGAAGGCGCAGCGTTCTCTTATCCAGGTTGAGCTGCCTGAGGCGTTGCTAAGAGATTTCCGCAGCCTCCCTGAGCCGAGTCCCACGGATAGCAGCACTCACGTGCTCTGCTTGTGCAAACCCCGTCTAGTTATCTGTCCTGGACCGGAACCCACATCCATTACCTTTTATTTTCGGAGAAAGCCACTTCCAGCAAAGAATTAAAACAAAACTGCAGCAGTATGGGGATGGGGAGGGGTGAGAGGGAGATGCCTCTAAAAGCTAAACGGTAAGATCGACGCAAAAGTGCGCACAGATGAGTAAAACTTTGCTCACGGATAAGCAGAAATCAAGTGATTGCTCCCAGGCGGCAGGAAGTGTGGTTGGGATGTCATTAGTAAAAAAATAGCAAGCACTTTGAAATAATTCTCGCAGTTGCGATATGGTCTTGACTGACAGCAGAGCTGGTTTTCACTTTCTCGTTATTAATAATTGCAAAGATAACTCAATCCAGGACAAAAAAAATCACTTAGAGCCTTATATCACAAGAAATTATACATAACATAATTATATTTTTTATAAGGAAATATCAATGGATCAATAAAAGACTTTCAAGCGTAAACTGTATTTCATTAGGTAAAATGTTGTAGGGAATAGAAATATAAATGCAAGGAGAAAAAGCAATGATGCAAAGGGTTTGTGTACTTATTAATGATACGAGTATTAAATTAGGTTTGACTTTCAGGTTACACTAGATACGTTTAAATGAGTGATACGATTTTTATCTAAAAAGTCAAATTTCATTCTTTGCGACTGTCAAAACTTACAATAAAAACTTAGAGATGTCTATCTAGAAATGTATGAGGTAATGAATTTTTAAAATTCCTAAAAGAATGTGCAAGCAAAAAGGGATGAAACCATCATAGAAAACCATTACCAACCCCAACTTCTTCAGCTTCTTTCTACTGATTATGGATGTTCTAGTTGCTCAAAAAACAGAAAAACAACATTTCTTTCTTGGGAAGTCTCTAGGGATTGTATTTTAAAATTGATCAGAGGAGAGTCTTAAATAAAATGGGTGTTGAAGTACGTTTTGGAGGGTATACCCTACCAATAAGCTGATTCTCTGGAAATTTCTCCCCCAGCGGGTTTCTGTAGCCATGTCTACCTCCTGGAACAAGGCTAACAGGGTCAGAATAGACACCTGAATAGACACGTGGTAGACTGATGAGAGCCTTCTCCAGGATATTAGCTTTGAAGATGAATCCACAATTTATTTCCTGCATGTTTCAGGAACCATAGCCTGTGAAGGTCTAACCTGTGAAACTGCCTTTAAGCGATAAGCTGGGGTCAGCCCATGTGGACTATGGAGAGCTGGTTGTAAAATGTTCAGAAATTGTGGGAGCCAGTTGTTAAACATAGTCATTATTGAAAATTAAATTATATAAGCTTACAACTTAAGTGTATTACGAATAAAGGTAGTAACTCAAAACTTACCACTTCCTAACTTTTACTACCTTTCACTGTTATCTATGAGGTTTATGTCAAATGTGTCTCTATGGTAGGAATGTTGTATAATGTTGAGCTAAAGCACACCTATTATCAGCTCCATGTTCAGTGATGTCATGTTAGCAGCTTAAATCAGCCCTAATGGGAATATTTATACCACAGAAATTTAAAGACCCTACCAATCAGGGATCTTCTCTCAGATATTAATGAGATATGGATCTGGTTCCAGAACTCTTTCTTCATGGCCTTTCTCAGTGAACTAATACTCCCCAGAATAAACTTGGAAAATTCTATAATAAAGTATTATCAGTTATTCATAATTTAATAATAACTTATTGTAAAGAAAGCCTTCTCTTTTTGAATACAAGTAAAGTTAGCACTGTCAGAAATTTTTTTTCAGTGAGATAGTGGCAAATGATATGGCAAGGATATTTCTGGACAATAGAGATACACATGGTATATGAAAGCACAGCTTCCTACCATGATTGAGTGTTTCTTGTAACTAGAATAAACTCTAAAGACTGAGGGTGGAGGGATGGGTTCCATTCAACCTACTGCTTTTCAGTATACCATCTTTTCCATGCAGAATTCCCAAGTCCTGCATGAATACTGCACTATTCTCACATATCATATGAGGGTGTCTTTCTAAATCATACCACCAAGCAGTTAATGCAAAACGAAACAGCAGACTATGGTTTTAAAATGGTGAGGAGAATGAAGAAGATGGTAATGATTGCAATTAGAGGGAAGTTCAGTGTTCTCTTACACATGATTAAAGACACATATTAATATATTGTACAATTTAATCATCAGTTGCTATGCACCTACTAGGACAGACACAATGCTAGGCCCTAGACCAGTGTTCCTCAAATCTAACATTCTTCAAAGTACCTGGGGAATTGTGTGGACATATAGATGCTGATTGAACAGCTCCATGGTAGGACCTAAGAGTCTTCATTTCTGGAAAGCCCTCAAATGAAACCAAGGATCCTTGTCTGAGACCCATACTTTAAATAGCAAGGTCCTAGAGCATATAGTAAGAAATATTAATCACTCTTATGAAGTTTTGAAAAAATGTTCCAAGTAACTGAATCATTGATGAACTTCATTTCAGATTGTAACAGCATGCAAATGCTATTGTGTAGCTCAAAATTTGGAAACTAAATAGTCCCCAAGAAAGAAAACTATTAATAAGAATCTATTCATAGTGATTGAGGTTATCTAAGTCAAGAAGTTATTCATGAAAAGGGGAATCTGCCTGCACCTCCTCAAGAAGGATTCTCCACCAGTCTCCCAAATCACCTTAGGTGTCTATCTCAATTTGAAAGACAGTCATCAGGACAAAATTCACTTCCAGTGTTGCTCAAAATGCCACAGTTTATTTAAAGATAATCTAATCGTGATGTTGGTGTATTTATTGAGAAAGTCACCAACTCACAAACCATATACAACCAAAATGTGAAAACATTAGGTAGAGTTTAATGTTTTCAGTTGAGTTCAGAGCCTTCAGGTAATGGGGACTAGTTGCTTACTTTTCCATTTTAGAAGACATCACCTCCCCTGACAGGGCTCTTCCCTTATACATTTTGATGTCCCCATAACTATTAATAGGGTAGTGTCTAGTGTACAATTAACATGAATGCTACTGAGATAGAAAAAAACCCCTACTATTTAAAACATTAAGCTAATATTTGTTTTAAGGGAGAGAAGTGAGAAAAGGGAGTTTCTTTGGGTGTTGCCTAGATGGGAGAGGATAAAGTGAAGATAATTTGTTTAAGCAAAAGAGAGGAATCCTGAGTTTTCTCCTCTGTCGCCAGGGAAAGCAGAGTCAGGGCTTTGAGGTACGGTTGCCAGATTTAGAAAAATATAGGATGTCCAGGAAAATCTGAATTTCAGGTAAACAAAGAATATTTTTTTTTAAGTATAAATATGTTCTATACAATATTTGTGACATACTTTTATGGGACATTTTGGAACCCTAGTCTTGGGCAAAGAGATGTGCAGAATTTCAAAGGGTGGAAGGTGGGGGGTGGTCATGGTTCTGACATCAGAGGAGGAGAAATGATTGTCAGTGAGGAGTTCCCAGTTACAGAGTAGGGGTGGGGGGAAGAGGAGATTCTAAGATATGGAACTGTTTTCTCCCAAACCTGTAGTAAAACTTTGCTCCATACACAATCTTAACACTGCTGTTGAGAAGGAAGGGCTTGGCAGCTGAGGTCAGGGTGGTAGATGAGGAACAGCTGGTGGCTCCACAGTGTCTGAGCTGTGAGTCTCAGAGGAGACGGAGTGGATGACAGGCAGGGAACGGGCTGTTGAGCACACTGGCTTAGGAATGGCTAGGAGAGAGCCCCCTTCCCCAAGGAGGAAGAAGCTGTACCCAAGAAGGTGCACCTTTAAAGGGAAGATGCTTTATAGGGTTACATACAGACACAGGAAAAGGGCAGCCAGACAGCAAGAACTGTGTTTCTCCAAACAGCATTTCCAGGTACCCATGTTTATCACCATCTTATTATTCCTCTTTCTCATTCATGAACACTAAAAATTATTCCCCCCTCAGAGGATAAAGATCATGCCATAGTTCTTATTTGCCCTACACTGTACTTATTTACAATATTAGCTTATTAATTAACTGGCTGATCATTATGAGGCTTTGCATTATTCCCCTTTTATGTAATGTAGAATTGTAGAAATTAAAAGTTGAAAAAAAATTGGCATGTAAAAAACTCCAAACTTCTGAAAATCAATGTCATATTTACCCAAGCAGACTCTTTTCCTCCTGAAGTGAAATTACAATTTATTCCTCTTGTTTGCCATTTAATGGTGGGTTTTGAGCTCCCTCTAGTGAGAGATGAGCTACTTACAGAAGGATTGAACAAAAAATCTTTTAGAGATTGCCTGCTTTCTTACTAGAGAGCTACTTTTTCATTCTCTCCTATAATCAATGGATATATTTTCATTTTTAAGCCAACTTATTTCAAACTTTCTCAGGGGAAAAATTTTTGAGAATCACATTTATAAATAAAATATCACTCTTCTTTGGGAATTAAAAAAGTATTGTTGAAAACACATCCATTGAAATATGGAACTAATTGTGCCTTCATTTTTTTTTCAGCATCTGTTTTTTGAGCATTTACTACGACAAGAGCCCTGTGCTGGGACCCTGTATGACCAGAAGGTGATAATGCATGGGGCTCTGTTCCCAAAAGTTAGGTTTCAGGAACCAAATTAGCCCTAGGAGGTGGCTCTTTGGAAATACATTATGATATCCTGTAATCTCAAGTATTCAGAATTTTCTCTATTTTAGATCCTAACCTTCAGAACGAGTAAATGTCTTTGAGCTGCCACTCTTGTGTGCTTGAACTAATCTATTGAT